ATTTGTCGAAATCATTATCTTATTCTAATAAGCCATTAGTAGTTTCTTACCCTCAGCAAAAATCATCAAGTTTAGCCTTTTGTAACTAAATACCGTTGAACCATTACTGGTAAAAAACCACTTTTCTCACGTTTCTCCCATAAGAATGATTAGCTCATGTATTGAATTTAATGCTCAAAATAAGATATCTTGTTAAGTAGCAGGCAATGAAGCATACATCTAACTGGGTGAAACAGGATCATATAAGAAGTAGCTAAAAACTTTGAATTTGTGCGGCTTTACTAAGTAGGGTAACTAAGAAGCTAAACAAAACTACTAAAACTACCAGTAACCCACCTATGTCACCGTTGGTTTAGTAATTATATTTTGAAGTTCATACTAATTTGAGTAACAGCGAAACAAATAATTCTTCAGCATTTGAGGTAGGCTAGTCCTTACATCTCAAAATCGTCGAAGGGTAAGTACATTTGACTGGTTTTTTTTAAGGCTGATGATACTGAGTGGATCTGTCCAGTTTGTATTCACTGGATGAAACGAACTACATTGTACACTAGTCATTCAAAATATTAAGACAAATAAAAGTCAAATGGTGTTTATTTTTAACCACTAACCTACAATGATATTTTTAAGATGTGCTTGACTTTATTGCTGTATGAATTATATGATTATTAATTGATCACTGAAATATATCGTTGAAACTAAATTGTGAATGCTACTTTTTGAGTTCGAGATTGATTTAAGCAACAATTTCCAATATCAGATTCACTCGCCACACCAGTCGTTATGTAATAAATCAGTAACTAAATATCATCAGTCATAAAAGTTTGTACTTCCCCATGGTCGATATTTGTGGATGAATTAGTTGATCTGCTGTAGCATTAAGTGTCCTTGGAAAATGCTTTCGTTTGTCGAAATAGTATCGATATTATTTTATCCACGACTAGTGATTAATATTCACTAAACAAGTGATCTTTCACTACTGACTGGTATGATAGATAACTGCTTGACGTCTGAAGCAATTTGTTTTAGGTTGAAATCTCACTGGAAAGACATAACTAACGAGTACTCAAAAAAGTGACTTACACTCCTGAGATTTGGTTGATGTTAGTACTAAGTAGAAGTATCTTAAAAGCAAAGAGAATTATTTACTTAGGTAAATTCTGTAGATTTATTCAATTTGTGGATAACGTTTATCTAGAACGTATATTCAGTAGGTAATCATTGGAAACCGGAGGGGATTGGATATATATTTCACGATATTTTGGAAATCTTTAGCATTGCTCATCCACAGTCGCACCAGAAATTATTTTTGAAGTAAAACTTGTGCATTTATTTAAAAATACTTTACTCTTATACCCCACTTTTATCCTAATATATGAAGTCCCTCTACACCCACAGTCACTGATAAACCTTAGAAGTTGGGTGGGTTTCAATTTTTGTTTTCAGAGATATCCACCCGTAGAAAAGAACATTCTTGGGACATTTTAAAAGATGCCCAGTTCAGTTCCTAGTGAAATTCCTATACTTAGTTGAAACGTAACTATTAAAAAAAGTATTTAAAAAAATAATTATGGTATTCTTGCAGAAATTATTCTGTTCACCTGTACATCAGTCAGCTAGTCAGTCACAACGTAGAACTTCGTATGTACGTATACCAGTTCGAGTTACCGCACCACATTAACATAGAGATGCAGTTGTCGATTCAAATCCCATAGTGGTAGAAGTAGTACATAAGATAAACAGATTCCTAAATTAAAAAGAAACAGAGCAATTTGTTTACCAATATGTTATCGTTTACTGGTATATTTTGTTTTTTGCTAGCATAATAAACAACAGAACACTCCTATCTATCAAATATGTAAATACTTTCCTAGAAATTTTGCTTTTAGAAAAATTAAGAAAGGAACGAATCGAGCGAAGAAATTTCTTTTCAATTAGTTTCAGAAACTAGTAGTGAAGAATGACTTGGCAGACAAGATTGAAAAGCAAATAATAGATTCGTTGAAACAAATCAAGCAACAGGGTTTTATCTCAGAAAAAGTGTTCGAAATGTTAAAACCTACAGGAACGAGTACACCCAGGTTATATGGCTTGCCAAAAATACATAAAAGTGACTTGCCCCTTCGACCCGTTTTAGATATGAATAACTCAGCCTACCACACTATAGCAAAATGGTTGGTGCAAATTCTCAAACCGCTCCACAAGGAAATTGTTAAACATAGTGTCAAGGATTCCTTTGAATTTGTCAATAATATAAAAAATCTATCGCTCAAGAATAAATTTATGATATCATTAGATGTAACGTCCCTATTCACCAACATTCCTCTACTTGAAACGGTAGATTTTATTTGCAATGAATTAACAGAGAGGAACTTAGAAACGGTAATTCCCGTATCCGCAATAAAACAACTATTTCTTAGATGCACAATGAATGTTCAACTCCGATTTGACAATGAGTATTATAGACAATTGGATGGGGTAGCCATGGGGTCACCATTGGGCCCTATACTGGCAGACATTTTTCTGGCAAAACTAGAAAATGGTCCACTCAAAGACACAATTAGCCATCTAACATCATATTGTCGCTATATAGATGATACCTTCATAGTATTAGAAAAAAAACATGAAAAGGAGAACATTCTTAATATATTTAATAATATCCACCCATCAATTACGTCTACACTAGAAGAAGAACAGAATGGTAGTATATCGTTTTTAGATGTCCAACTAACCAGAAGAATAGACGGAACATTAAAAAGAGGAATACATAGAAAATCTACAGTTGGACAGTACACTCATTTCTATAGCGCAGTACCAATGAAATACAAAAGAAACCTAATAAAGATCCTAACTTATCGTGATAGAATGATTTGCTCTGATGACATTATTTTAGATGAATTGGCTAATATTCGAAACTTGCTTAGTAAGAATGGGTATCCAATGAAATTCATCGACAAACACATGACGGAGACGAAAAGAAGGACAAAGGTACCTACTGTTCCGAAGAAGGTACTGTTCCTAAAGTTATAATTCTTAAATGATGCTACTGAAGAAATCTTGACACAGAGGTTAAGAAGGGCAGTACAGAAAACATTTAATGCAGCCCGACTTAGTACCGTCTTCTACAACCGCCCCACAATAAGAACTGTTAATAAAGACAGATTGCCTGAATTCGCCACATCTATGTGTATTTACCAATTCAACTGCTCCTGTGGAGCCAGTTATATAGGGCGTACAATTCGGCAAGTTCGTCAACGAATAACAGAACACCATCCGTCATGGTTGAATAAAGGACAGGTAAAGGGGATTAAGAGTTCTATTCTCGCTCACTTGGTGGACACAGGTCATCATGTTGAACTGAATAAAGCTTTTAAGGTTATCTACCATATTCCATCTAGTTTGCCACATGGTTTACGAGCTCGTCTATTGCACATAGCTGAAGCCATCGCAATTCATATTCACAAACCGAACCTTTGTATCCAAAAGAAGTTTGTACAACCACTCTCGCTACCTTGGCCATCGGTATAGCGGAGTTTGTAGCCTAATTTCGGGAAACAATTATCTTATTCCTTCCATTTTTTGTATTTTACTTATTCTCTTCATTCGTCTCTTGATTCTTACATAACTACTATATTACTGACCATTCATCAAAATATTTTGTTAGTTCTTTCTTCTCATTTTTATATATTATGCAACGTAGCAACAGCTTAATTTTCGAATAACTACTTTGATTAGTATTAATCTTTCTCTTCCAATTAATGTTAGTTTATAATCGATGTCATTATATAATCATTACGTAACGTATCTACTCTATGAGTGTTATTTAATTATTGTAAATCATATATATATTAGTGTAGAGCCATGATGAAAAACTAATTGAAAAGAAATTTCTTCGCTCGATTCGTTCCTTTTTAATTAACAAATGTCGAAATGGGAATTTTCATTTTAGAAAAATGATAATGATTATCTGAATTAGAAAGCAAGTTTCACAATTACTAATTGTTGTTTATTAACATAAATAAATATCTAATGTTCTCATTGCAAAACTAAATTCATCGGCTATTCTTTTACTACATAGAAAGGTAAAGCGAAAAATCACTAATTATATTATTGTAAGGTTCAAGTTGAACAGTCTGCATGTTAATATAATTCATAAGATGGCCATTGGAATAGGTTTAGAATAATTCAATTTGAAATGGATTGGATTATCCCGTTAATATTTCTGACTAGCTAAGGCTGATTAATTTTTTAGTCACAAATATCAACAATGGAATAATCTAATCCATTTCAAATTTAATTAACACTCATACTCGTTGTATAAGTGAGTGGTTATGTGAACTCACTACCTAAGTGGGCAAAGTGATAATATTTGAAACAAACGATCCTGAGTTTGAGTCCCGTGGTGAACATCAACTCTAGGATTCATGAACATTGGCTAATGAGTCCTAAGTAGGACAAAACGCACGTCACAGATTCCACTGTTAACCACATTCCATCTATTCCATGCTATAATTCAAAATAGTTTTCGTATTACAAACAGTAGGCTGTTATGTAGTGAAAAATTGTGCTCATGTATTTTATTTATTATGTAAATAAGTATTGGTGCTTTTTAAAAAATAGTTTTCTGATCGTTTTATTAAGCTGAACTAAAATGATTTATTTTTAATTGAAAATAAACTGTTGACTATATGATGACGATACCTTGTTAATGAATGAACTAGAGATTTTGATTCGAGCTCACTTCTGCTAAATCTACATCGTAATTCAGAGATGAATTACTCATAAAAACGGTACAGATGCATATAGTAAAATATTATTAAGGTAAAAGTCTATTTATAAGTTTCTAATCTTCACTACGATAGAGTTATTTTTGTTAACTAGTGTAACAATCAATCTTCAGATAACCAATATTGTAGTTTAGTATTCTCTGTTACGCTTTTGCATTCTAAGTTTAATTTTTACTTCAACTGTTGAGAAACTTTTTTATGGATTTTTAATAGCTTGTTGGTTTAGGACTTGTGGTTTTTGGAGCTTTAATACGATGGAATGAAAAACTTTTGGTTGAGCGAATTACTCCTACGGTTATCGAAGAAATAGATGATGAGAATGCCCGTGAAGCTGCTCAAAAATTGGTAGAAGAAAGAATAACTTTATTTGGTAGGTATTTTCTATTCCAGAAGTTTTATTTCAAAACAACACTGGTTGAAGTGAGACTTTAAATGGCAAATCGGTTATATCTTATTTGAGAACTAATTAGTAGTATACATTTCATATCTCCTTTGATATGTGAATGTGTACAATTTCACAGATAGTGAGCTATAGACCCAGTTGGTAATATCCCCAACTTCTCTACAGTGCGATCTCATCGCATTCAGTTAATGCAAAATGATGATTTCAATATATAAATAAGCAACTTTGGAGCGATTAACTTTTATCACTTCTAAAGCTTCCCAAGGAATGACTGAAAAGTGGATTTACTACAAATCTATATTGATTTCTAAAACATAAGTGTACTGCTACTGTAATTCCCACATAGAGTTGGGTTGTTAAACAAATTCTCGCTAATTGTTGATGATGAATATGACACTTATCGGTATGTTATAAAAGATGAAATGTCACATTTTATTAATGGTTAAATATTTAAACACATTAAAGACTTCTTTTCCTATATTATTTTCTTAATTATTACAATCAGCTTCTTATGGTTTGGCAATTTTCTTGTTCGGTCTCTTTATTTGCGTATTGTCGTTATGTGGAATATGTGGAGTATGCTGCAAAAGTAAAATCTTACTTGGCTTAGTAAGTTATTTGTAGCCATTACTTTCAAATTGTTTAGAAAATGGAATAATTTTTTGTCTTAAGTTGTATTTGGTCAACTTTATGGCAATGAATCATGGTAGTTATTTAAATTACAAGGTAGTGAATTAAAACATGATATAAAGGTGAAAAATGCTGTTTCCGATTAAAATAAATTAAATGACATAATGATATGCTTGATGCTATTACGAGTTCACCTTACTCGGTAAACGGAACGAGGGTGAATAACACAGTGACACGATAGGTTATTCTAATCCCTTGTCGCCAGCCCTGCTAAGTCGATTAAGAAGTCTTCATGAGGCGTAAAGAATGTATTCTACAAGCAACCAGAAATACGAGGTCATTAAGCACATAAATCAAGCTTAGTTATACAATGATATAGACGCTCTTGGGAGAGGCACAAAATAGTGTGCTAAAAAAATCCGTCAACCAAAGACAGTCAAGGGTTTCCGAATGGGAAATGTAAGCTGAAGGTCAGTCAACTAAGCGTCTGTTGGTGCGAAAACATAAAATTCAAATTTTCAGAATAAAATTACAAAATTAGGACCTTTTCCAAGTGGGTTCTGGGGACCTAACGTCCTCAACACATAACAGTCATCTTATCCCATGGGTTTATTTAATATGACTGAGCTAACATGTTTTTAAAAACAACACATCAAATCGACTCAATTATCTTCGGAAAGTAAAGTTTATGGGAACACATAAGTAGATTCGAGCTCATCATAAACAGGCTGTAATGTACATAGAAACTCTTTCATTCGCCACTATCTAAATGCTTTTTATTAGGTTAGAAAAATCTGAAATTGATTGATTTCTGAAACCTACCTTTAGGACAGAATGAGGGTTTTGCGGAGATTGTAGAAATTTAAAAGTTGAATTCATGAGTCGATTAAAGCTAGGTCACCATGGGAAACCTGGAAGAACTGAACGGCCTTTTAACCCAAGCAAGGGACTCCTCAGTAGTGCGCATCCACTATCCTGAATGCAGGACTCAAATCCAGGATCTCCGGTCTCGCGGGCGAACGCGATAATAATCACCATATACGCACTAGTGACTGACTTCAAGAGATATTTCCTGGAGTTCTAGTGAGAAGCCGTGACCAGTGGAGTTCAACGTGTCTGTTGTGAGGCAGTTACTCACTAACGACAATGGTGGACAGTCGTGAAATATAGTGGATTGGTTGATGTTAGACATTAAGACGGTCGGATGCCGACTCAGTGATGTAGGTGTTAAGCGTTGGCGTGTGAGACCGAAGGTGGTGGGTTTGAATGCCACGTTCATGATCGTGGATGCACACTGTTGAGGGGTTCAATACTAGAACGAAACGGTCGTCCAGTGCTTCCATCTTTTCAATACTGGTGTAGCTTAAATCGACTCATTAATTCAACCATTAAATATAACTAATCCAAACATTTCATAAGAACATTGAATAGACAACTGTTTTGTAAAAGATTACGTTGTAGCTGTAACTGTAAGCTTTTTTTAATTCTTTGTTTCTCATACAAATCCGATGTAGCAGTTGGTTAGGTCCATGTCTATCATTCAGTCCTCTTACTTAACTGTCTTAATTACGTATTTGTAATTGATTCTCTATTACTATCGGATAATCGTGATGTCCAAACGGCCTTGTCATAAACAGATGGATTTTCAACAATCAAACTGGTTGGAATTCTCCCTCTTGAATAACATTAGTTGGACGTTTGTAAGCAGAAACGTGTGATTTATCAACTGTAATTTCGATCAAAATGAAAAAGTGTGTGATGAAAACATAACTCATGGTTAAATAATAAAAATAATACGTTAACCAGTCGTGCATATCTTCAATTAAGAATGAGATAAACTGGAGAAACTTTACTTCTGCGTAACGTTAGTTTTGATCCAATGTAAATCTGTCTGCAAAATGTCAGTTCAGATCACTTTTCTAACTCATTTGGCAAAATTCAGTTATTAATTTAAAAACGTCTAGCTTTTATTTACCCACCTGGACTAATTTGTTCACCCTCCTCTTTTCTTCAAATTATAGTATATTATTATTTCTTCCTTGTTATTTTCTCTGACTTGTTCTATTTTCCCTTTACTCCCATTCATATAGCACTTACTTTTCCTTCTAACCTTTTTATCCTACCACAAATTGCGGAGAAATGTAACAAAAAATCCAGATGTAAAAAGAGCTGAATAAGATACACTGTATGCTAATATTCAAACACTTTGTAATATCAAACAGATCTGATAAATCTGATAAAGCATAAAGAAAATGGATAACCTTTGCAGATTAGAAATAACAATCATGCATCCACCTGTTCAACTTTATCTCCTGGTTCACACTGCTATATTTCATTCTACTTTCTAGACAGTGTTCTAATTCACTAATGGTTATATATATATATGTAGTATAAATTAATCTTAAATCTTGTTATACATCCCATTACAGTTTTTCAAGTTATCGAAAATTTCAACATTGATATTCTTTGAGTGTGATCTAGTTTCGAAAGTATTGCGTAAACTGAGACTGGTTAGGAATTCTCTACGTCAGTAGCCCAAAAACCTAAGATCGTAATTACCTGTAAATTCATGGTGTGTACTTTTTGGTACTATTTAAATAAATAAAACAAATATGACTAAATTCATCAGTTCAAGAATTACAAATGAAATATGGTGCTGTCCATTTCAACCAATTAAATATAACTTTATGAGACTCATAACTGAATAAAATAGCTTTACTGTGCCAACTCTATGAGTTTGGTCAATAATAGGATTACAAAATATAGACGTCACTCAAAAAGCCGTAATGTAGGAATTTCTCGGCTGACATAAATTTTTCATTTCCCTAATAATTGAGTACCGTTATGGTTTGATTGATTTCACCTAATTATTGCAAACTATTGATAGTGAATTAGTTTGCACACAAAAACTGTACACAATATTCTTTATTTTAATAAACTGACTTTTTCCAGGGTAGTTTAATTTTAAACATAACTTAGTAATTATTAGAACAGAAACACAAACCTATGGAAAGTGATAATCTTTTATCATTACAATATAGAATTGCAGAATAGCTTAATTCAGCTAAGATGAACTGACCTTGACCAATGGGTGTTTATTAATAAAAAGTAAACATGTTACTAAACAAGCAAAGTATATCACAATAACAAAATTCAAAGGGCAATTCAACTACATCAACGTAATCAGTGGCTGACTGATTTCAATCCGCTTGAACTAACAAATTTAGTTAGAAGTAGCATTACCAAGGTTTGACTTGATAATTTAAAATAAACTGAGCGTTGGGTATTATTGGCAATAGATTAATAGTATATTTGTGATATCCCAATGAGTAAAGATGAGGATTTCTGACCACAATTTTGATTTTTATCGAAGTAAATAATCTGGCTTATTCCTATGTACTATCTAAAGTTGTGTTAATCCAAACTAAGTCATCAGAAGTCAGAAATTTCATTTTTTTTTACTCAGTGAGGAGTCACACATAAATTAATAAACCGTAAAATGAAACATTTGCCATTAGTATAGTGTATTTTTTAGATCATTTTAGGCCGTTTTCCTCTATCAGCCTGACCAAGAATCTCCAACCAACCCTATCCTAGTCTCTTATATCCAGTTGCTCTATTCATGGTCTTAGTATTGACCTCCACTTTCCGGTATAATATATTTATTGTTCTACCTCTCCCTTTTATCTTGAAGATTCCAAATCGGAATTTGCCCCGTGGTGCGGTTTGATGGCTTTTATAAACTATTTCCTATCCAACTCCAGTATCTCCCTAATTTTCTCCTCAACAGGCAGCTGGTCTGTCACAGTAGATAGTTGCTGATGGTCTCCGACCGATAAATATGGGCTTTCCTTCGTACATAGTAGTTTATGAAAACCTTTATTGTTATGGTCATGTCGGTGGTAGTTTTCTAACTTTCAACACTATATATTTGAATTGTCCTAACGCTATCTTTGAAAACCCTGATTTGGAATTCAAGGTATTCTTTAATTACATTAAACGTTGCTCTTGCTGTGCCAATTCTTGCCTTTACATCTGCATCAGATTTTCCTTGTTTATAAGTAATAATGTTCAGGTGCGTGAAGGCTTCCAGAGCTTCCCCATTAAATGTGATGTGGTTGGTGTTCTTTGAGTTGTATTTCAGGATCTTGTTTTTTTCTTTGTGGATGTTGGGATCTACTGTTGCAGAAGCTTTTGTTACACTGGGTGTCTTTGCCTGCATTTGTTACTCTTTGTGATAGAAAGGTTAACTCATCTGCGAAGTTCGGGTTGTTCAGCTGTATCCAAGCTGTCAACTGTATTCCGTTTTCCCCAAAATATGGAGGTCTTGAAGATTCAATCAACAACCAGAGGAAAGAAAAAGGGATTCAATTGGGATGCATCCGTGAGCTACTCTTCATGCATGACTTTGCAGTTTAGTCCTCAGATACTCAATCGTGTCGAAAAAGATTCCATAAGGTTCTCATATTCACGCTGTCAAATGCTTTCTCCTGGTCAAGGAAGTTGATGTATAGCGACGAGATGCATTCAACCGTTTGTTCAATAATGATTGTCAGTGTTACGGATTGGTTGGTATACATTCTTTCCTTACACAACCAATTTTCCGATCTTCAAATCTTTGCTGATTTTATGGCACTCCTCTATTTTACCATAGACTACAACATGTGTAAATTGTACAGCTTCAGAAAATGATTTTGTTGAAAAGAAAATTCCCTTCGATATAAAATCTCTATTCTTGAACAACTTTTACGCAACCCATCTTATAAATTTCGAATTCTCGACAATTATCACCTCATTGCTTTATATTTTCTATTCTATTTCCAAGTGGTCTGAAACTTATATAAACTCTTCACATCTATAATTGTCGTACGATCCATCTTATGTGTTTCCGGACTTCATATACTTACTACCTCAACCTCATAAGTCTTCTTAATTCCGTCTCCAAATGACCTCACACCTGTTTATTCACAGAGATAATTATGAATGTTAACCTTTATTACTCTAATTCGCTCCGTCATCAATGTTGATAACTTCTTGTCATTGCATATGTCACATTTTAATGGGAATACGATTATAAGCAGCTGATGAGAAACCACGTAATATGATGACTTCATATTATTCTACTGGGATTGTCAATCTGACTTTATTCGAACACTTATGTGTTGCTATTATCTTACACAGAATATACCAAGCATACTGGGTATTCGTCTACCAGCAATAACAGTAGTATAAACCAGTTCACCATTCATATACCTTAAATTTTTCTAAATATATTTATTATTATTCCATAAAATATGACTTTTTATTTCTTATTAGCGTATTCATTAAACGTCATTCTTTCTAGTTCTCTAATAATATTGGTAACGGTGCTGTTATTCCCTCAATCTCCTTTATTCTAATTTAAAATGAGGCAGCATAACTGTACTAAGTCTATCACTGATTTTTAGTATGTTATGCAGTGTAAGCACATTTGAAAATGTTTAGTCGGTGGACAATGAAACTTATAGAATAATGTTTTAAAGAACGATTCATTTAGTCCAAAGGTTTACAGAAAATAGTTAGCATTGACGGAAAAGAAAAATGGATCGTTATAAACTGATAGATAAACTGATGCTTGCAGCTCATATAATATTTGTTTAAACTGGATGCTTTTTTAATCTTTAATTTTATTTTACGTGTTTTTATACTAAATCAGATATCTTCGTCAGTGAATTTTTGAATAGGAGTAACTCTGAAATGATGATGCTATCCAGCTTGATGCTGGAATGTCTACTATCCAAAGCCTAAAGTGAACAAATAGCTCAATTTGAACACATACTGATTTATATTAACTTCCTATTCTCATCGTTTAAGTAAACCGTTTCTGAAACATCAGAAATATTGTGGAGATAAAATTGCTTGTTTTATCTTTCTTTGATACTTCTGTTGTTTCATATAACATTTATTTCAGTATGCAGCCTTTCTTCTAGTCATATTTTTGGCGCTGCTCGTATTCACTATTGTATTTGGAACACGTAAACACTGGGTGGGTTGATTCTTTTTATAATGAACTATACCCAATAAAATAGCAAACTCCCATGATTACATGCTTTAGTATTATTTGGTTCCGTTAAACTAGTTGTTTTTTCGAAGACAGGAAATTCTGAAATTGTAATTATTGCAATAAACATATTTCAAAAGAAACACTGAAAAAGTTTAATTCTTAATCTGGAATAATACTTTACTCACCTAGTAACCGGCTTCAAGCAGTTGCAAGTGCCTCGTATTTGTTGAACTAATATACAGTTACATAAAAATCGCAAAAACTAACAATCATTAAGTTTGACTATATCTTAGTATTCTCTATTTTTAACTTCCGAGCGAATATTACGAAAAATATTGGTCAATATTGTGACTGTATACCATTTATGGCTATTAGATTTCTATCATTAATTACTCATAACACATTCAATGAATCAATAAAGATCATTATGAAACAAATTGTCAAGCTCCTTAAATTATTCACTAAGCACATATAGTTGATAAACTGGTTGTATTAACAGGTATCTTTTTGAAATACAACAGAAAGACAGTTATTCAGATTTACTCCAGTTCTAAATTTCAAGTGTACCAGATTTACCATTGAAAAAATTTGAAGATAGGAGCTACCACCGTACGATGCAGTAATGCGAAACAATCATTCAGTCCGTTGTTGCTGATAAGGAATATCTAGACGATAATAATTTCTGGTACATGCGATTTCTACTCATTTTTCAAATCTATGTCATAGTAATGTGATTTTTCGTGAGCTTCTGTCATTTGTCAGTGTGAAAAATGAGAACGTTACTGGTGTTACAGTTTTGAAATTATTAGACTTGGTAATTTATCAGTTTCAGGTTCAATTTATCCCTATCCCTATAATGCATTTCACTAATAATACACAAACGGCACCACTAATCACTTCTTCAGGGTTTTCTTGTCACTTTTTGACAAAGTTAGCGAGTTCATTGTCAAGTCAACAAGTTTCCTATTCACTATTGTAGATACTTCAGTTACTTACCATTTAGAGCTTTCCTTTTGAAACCACAAACAGTAGTAAACAATCGGGAATACTTTACAAGAAAGAGTCATTATTGGTTGAAATCATCCCATAATCATATTGAATTACAACACCCGAAATTACATTACTTATTCCAATGTTTCGCATCTTCAAGTAAGTACTTGGGAGCAGTTGGATCATTGGGAGGTTGGCTCATTCAAGAACGAGCATTATTTGAATAACAATTTCTCAATAGTAACTAGCTTTAAGATGAATGTCATTCAGATCTAAAAAAATTATGATACTTGAAGTCAGCCCGATCAGAACCAAAACGAAATGGCTCTGACAACATAGGATGATGACAGTTTACCAAAAGTAGAAAATGAGGACCAATAAATTTCAACATAGTAGATGAATAATGTGTTCGGAATGACATTTAAAGGTCCTTGGTATGATCTTGTATAGATCGTGCATGTAGCCTTATATTAAATCCCAGTCCAGAACAAAATATTTCTTCTGTAATATCCGACTATTATTAGTTCTCCGAATAATGCTAAGTATAAAACTCTCAAATTTCGTTTTCATTACGTTAGCAAATCCAAGCTACTCATTTATTCATGTTAGACATATTGTTTAAACGTCCATGATAAAATAACTTGAATAATTTTCATTTATTTCAGTTGTTGTAGTTTATCTCTTGTTTATACATGCCATGTTTCCTTGAGTTTATTTATATTATGTATCTAAATTCCAGTTCCGTGATGAGTTGGGTATAAGTTATAGAAGATCAATTACTAGTGATTATCATATGGACAATAATTTTCCACCGAACACCGGTTTCACTGTATTTGTTAATGAAATTCAACAAAAGGTAAGATCCGTGGGTTTGCTTTTGGATATTTATATGCGTTATTTCCACTGTTTCTGTGTATGGAAATCAAAAATAAGTATCTTATTTAGATTTACTCTTGAATAAGTTTATTAAACTGACACTCTTATATATTTATTGCAAGTAGAAGCATGGTTGTTTACTGAACAATAAACAGAAAAATCGCATTTAGAGTTTTCGATCAACTTTCTTTGTTATATTCTGCATGCCTAGAAAGCTGGACAATAGATAAAATATCTCAACACTTACACAAATACACTTTTCACTAATCCTTTTGTCCAGATGAATACAGGTCAACTATTAACAGCTAACGGCATACTAAAACCTCACGTAGCGGAACGCTAAAATCAAGTTCACTTCATAAAATACGAAATCATGAATACAGAACAATTTACTTTTGACTTAATAATGTCTTATTAATTGAAATAAAGGCTATTGCTTATAACATAGAAATACGATACAAATTTAAATGGTCGGAAATTACATATTGAATAGTCCATAGAGAGTCATTGGTGAAAATAAAGGTTATGTATTAATAAGTAAGCTGTTATGGCTAAAATTAAATAAGGGTACTTGAACATTGGAATAATTCAAGTTATTTGAAATTATAAATAAGCGGTATTAGTTTTCACTTTTTTAATTGTATTTTAAAGGAAAAAGAGATAGTAATCTCACCATTTTCTAAAGGCAAGGAGATAGATTCATACACTTAAATATTAAGTGGTAAAAAGGTTGACTTATGGTCCTAGTTATATCGTGGGACCATAACTTATTAAGAATCGATTAAGGAATTAGGAGCATTTTTTATATAATTCATATATGGTGATGCAAATATCAAACCATAAATAGCTGAGTAAAAAGCTCATCGTTTTGTACATTTCCTAATTAAGTGACCTTTTACCGAGTAGTGTGTCCAAGCTTATCCATAACAGTTGTTTGATGAAATAAACCATTATTTATAGAAGCCATTTATATGTCCGAGAATCAGTATGACTGTTCATGTGTCGACAATGGGTGCACACTGCTGAAAAGTCCCACAATAGGACGAAACGGCCGTCCAGTGCTTCCAGGTTTTCCATGGTGGTCTAGCTTCAATTGACTCATGATCTCAACTATATAAAATAACTAAAATCTACACAAAACCCTCTTCTGATTATTGATTTTACACAGCAAAACAAATTAAATAAGACTTCAAGTAAATAAATACTCAAACTATGGAATATAGCGAAATCAAATCAAATATCAAAAACAAGTTATGAGATTTTTCTATATCCACGTACTTTTTCAAGTGTTTACTGAACGCTGTTAACCAGACATACTTGAATAACAGGTGAGAATAGGTCACATACACTGTTACTTGTACAATCTTCCAGCAAAACCACTAGTTTTGACAATTTTAGAGAAAACGAGTGTAAGTAGTCAAGTTGGAATAAAACTAAGGTTTCTCAAAACTCACATAAGTGTATGTTGGTTACTAAAGCAATGTCAGCTATTAAATTATGACTGGTATGATTGAAGTCTAAGCTTCCATTTTACATAAAAACACAAGGATATTTTAAGAAAATCAGCAGATATACCAGAGATGATATTTAGTTAAATTTCGAAAAGAATTTTTTTTAATAATCATTACCTAGCTGAATCAATTAAATACTTGTCTATTTTTATACAAATCAAGCATAAATGCTGTGGTTCTTTTGACTATCGTGACTTCCAAGATAATGAATCATTCAAACGACAAAATTGTAAGTGCGATTCCTTGTTCTAATCATTCAAAGGTTTACTGGAAAGTGACTTATTTATTTGTTCATATGTATAGATTGTTTCAAATATGATTTATTATTCTCTTCTTTAATTACATCACATGAAGACTGTTATATTTCACTGAGAATAGTTCATAGAATTTTGCTACGTCAAGAATATTCCTTGAAGGACCCCACGATACATTCAGTATAAAGTGGAACTAAACAATTGATCTATATTGTGTTCAATCATGTTCAGAACTCAAAGTGTTTTAATGTGTCTTCTCTACAATCTGACACATTTTGGGACCAGAAATTACGTTCATACTCTTATTATCGTCAATATAAGCTCCTCACCGATAAGTGCGTAGGTGGTTGTAAATATAGATCTAACAACTAATTCGAAGAATACTGTTAAAAATGCTCTATTTAGTAGTAATCTAATTATAAACCTAAACTGTAGCAAACCGTAATATGAGTTGGTAGTCTTTTGTCATCTAACGACTTTGAATTTTACCTATATGAATAATTTTAGGGTGTCATACGTGAAGTCTATCACGAAATGTAACTTTAATTAAGGCTGTTTACACTAAGTGGGATATTTTGAAATTATTCTTAATGAGTAACTTTAAGAAAGTGATTCCACAGAGTTGCCCAGAAACCTGTAGTTTATATTTCATGTCATTTTGGAGGTTTTATGTTCTCTGAGTTAAATAGTTTAATTGTGAAGCTTTCATTGTCTTTCTGTACATTTAAGACTATTCGAAATTTGAAGTGTGTTCTGAGTAGTTGAATAGTTTATAAATAAATGTAGGCTTGAGAAATACAAATGATTTACTAGTCTTGATAAATAGAGATATCAAAAATTGTTAACACACATATTACTGAGGAGTTTGCTAGTCAGAAGTAAAATCAAGTATTAATGATGGACTTTAAAAATAAATAAATTTAATTACCTAAACTTTCTATTTTTTCTAGATAAGATTCCAGCCTCTTGTTGTAAAGACATAAAAGACAAAGAATGCTGGGAACGTCCGACAACACAAAATAGTTATAAAGATACTGTAAGTTTTTATCTTTACTTTTTTCTATAAAAGAAAATCGATAAACACTGGTATTTTCCAAAAAAAGACTTTATTTTAGAAGTGATTCGCGTATACAACATGACCACCATAGAGACATATACAGTGGCACCAATCCTTAACGTTGCACGATAAAATAAAAATAATAAGTATTTCGTAGATGTTAGGCTAACTGACTTAATATAACAGAAAACTGGCTCCATGGTTGTTGTTGTTGTTGTATATCGAAGATACTGAAAACAGTGTCTGAAGAAATCACATGTTTTCACTAAGGGAAATCGCAAAAACAAATATCTATCTAATAATGATGTGTTAGTTAATACTTTACGAGTACTTGTCTATGAATGTGAAAGAAAAGAGTGATATCTGATAATAAATGAGGCATAAAAATGAATTTTAGACTTCAGTAACTTCCAGAATAACTGCTAAAAACACTGATTAGTTTTGAAAGTGCTAAATACAGACAATAATACCAAAATACAAATTTAAAGTGTGATATAAACATATTCTCTCTACCTATTTGAACTATCAAATGAAAAAGGCCTCATGGATATAACAGTCGGTAAATTCGAATATTTGGTTTATATAGATGATGCCTGTTTGTTCATACTTAAGTGAATCCTTAACTGATAAAACAAATTTTTTCAACCGCGCAGGCGGTTAGATCAAATATCGACCTGAAAAGTGCTACTAATGTCAAAATGTAAGTTTGTTTAAAATACAATTAAGAATATTCATTCAAGACACTCCCTCAAATTTTTATCAGTGATTATATTTTATTTTTCAACTAAAGTTAAGGAGTCTGATTATCTATACCCCATAATGTAACTACCCTACCATTATTATTGTCTGAAAAATGTTAGACAAATATCTCGCACTTCTAATCGGTACAATCAGAACACTGGTTATAGTATCTATTTAGACATTGTGCACTAAGATAAGACCTTGGTTTTCAATAGCTGAATATGAGGATTTATATGCTTTAAATTATATAATGGTTAAGCAGAATGCTCCAATAAACATCCGAGAATACGCTTGTTGTAAAGATTTTTACGGGTGTTAGTTGATAAGTCATAATCTGTTTCATCCTTTAGTATTCCCATTATCCTTGACTTTGAAACATACTGGATAGCTGAAGTGAAGTTTTGTTGCCTCACTTAAATTAATGACTTTACATAAGAAAAGACTATATTCGTTATTTGTGGGCAGAAGAATACTTTGAAAACCACCGCAATAGAATGAAATCAATAATTCTATCTATATGGAGGTCCGAAAATTATGCAAAGTAAGATATCTTAATGTTATCTGTATGGCTATTGTAAATAACAACTACTTTTTACTACTAGTTACTGGTTTTCTTTGAGATTCATGTTTCAAGTTGAAACTCGGTGGTAACGAATTCAATCCCGAGGACGATACATAAAATGGACCATAGAGAAGTAATAAATCAAGTCACACTCGAATTTGTTTGATTTGTTTGATTTTCAAAGATATTTTACTCATCATGAATCAGCGTTTAAGCTTAGCTTGAAGATTACTAGATGCTTTTAAACAAGTCAAACTTTCTACAAAGCCCTGTACTGTCCTACTAATTTTTGTCATTTTCAAGAGTGAAATGATCCAGGTATTCAGAGTAAAGTAATATCAGGGACTTTCAGATTACACTTGAGCATTTATGAATACACACCTTTTGGTCTAATACAAAATTGTAAACAACTGGATTACTTGTATAAGACTCAACTTTTGATAGGTCTGTAAAACAGTTCTCTAGTTCATGCAACCTATTTAAGTAAGATAGATTTGATCTAATGTAATTTAAAAGCTAAACATTGTAAGAAATATACCCCACCATTGATTAAAAGAATCTAGAAGCGTCAACATTTTACGAGAGTAAATGTGAAGCAGTTTGTAAAGTTCAACCCAAATACCATTAATCCGGAAGTACAGATTGTTATACATTACCTTTCTGATTACAAAACATGCAAAGTACAGCTGAAACTACACTTAATTAATACCAACCATTGGTTTAAATTTGAAATGTGGATTGAGCATCCGGTAACTAATTTGCGGTTTAAAGATATTGTGTTTGTCACGAGTCTTGGAACCCACGTCCTCTACCCCTTGAAAGGAGCGCTAGACAGGATTGACACATGTATCCAGTGTTGTAAGGTCTGTACTGTTTTTCCAAGTAATATCGCTTCACAACAAAAACTATATCTAAAGTCAATGAACATAAAACAGAAGTCGGCAAAGTTGCTATTGTAATGTTTAGGTATATTTTAATCTTAGGCATTAAAAGATGACTATTTTGTCTCATGTCACTCCTCAGTGTCACATGGCTTAATTATTTTAAGCATTTTATTTTCAGTCAGTTGTTTACACATTCAGAAGTTCTCTCATCTATATTGATTTATACACTCAGTCATGATTCTCATTCGTTATAAACGGAAATATAGTTCAAGGGGATAAGCAAGAGAACTTATACTTGAATCACATAATTTTACAATTTGAGATGATTTTCTTATTCACTCCTTTCATTTCCTATTTTTGTTCACCCTTTTTAGGGTTGTTTCGAGTTTCTATGGTCAGCGGCACAACCAAGCTATCGAATTATTCTTTATATCTTAATTGGTCTGCTATTACTTACGGTTAGTTAATTACCTTATTTTTTAAATTCAAAAGCTAGTTCATAGAAATTATATACAACTTGATCCCTTCACTAATTTGAAGAAGGCCAAAACACTATGAATAATAAAACGAATATATTTTATTTCGAGACTTCTCATTAGTTGCAAACAGCCTGAAGTTACAAAGAACAATGAAATTAGAAACAAAGGTATAACATATTTCAGTTGGCCAAGTTCATACTGATATCTGCAACGAATCTGAAAATCACAAAGATCGAAAGTGGATACAAGATTCAATACTGCAGTAAATTAAAGCTCCAACATAATTCTATGCCAAAAATTAGATACACAACGGCTAATGTAAATTAGAGTTAGCTACTAATAATTATCATGTAGTCTTTAAAAATATTTTATAATTATTAGTAGTTAACTCTAATTTACATTAGCCGTTGTGTATCTAATTTTTGGCATAGAATTATGTTGGAGCTTTAATTTACTGCAGTATTGAATCTTGTATCCACTTTCGATCTTTGTGATTTTCAGATTCGTTGCAGATATCAGTATGAACTTGGCCAACTGAAATATGTTATACCTTTGTTTCTAATTTCATTGTTCTTTGTAACTTCAGGCTGTTTGCAACTAATGAGAAGTCTCGAAATAAAATATATTCGTTTTATTATTCATAGTAATTAATTCATTAGGAAATTTAGTACATTGCTTGATTAACGTCATCAAATTATTCCATAAATGACAATATTACCGGATACGATTTCTGTAATTATGCCAAACAATAAATCCCACACTTGAATAAAAAATAACCGGAGAAGAAACGTAACTGGACCACCTAAAATGGAGAAGTGATTAAGATCATGAGTCTATTAATGTTAGACCACCATTAAAAACCTGGAAGCACTGGAAGGCCGATTCGTCCTAGTATGGGACTCCTCAGCAGTCCGTATGGACGATCCCACACGCGGGATGGTCGCACAATACCATGGATTGGTTGACGTTAGACACTTTCACCGTTGGATGCCGGGTGATTGATCTAAAGATTAAACATTCACGCGCGAGACCGAATCTCTTGGGTTCGAATCCCGCCTGCGGGATCGTGTATGCGCACTACTGTGGAGTCCCATGCTCGGACGAAACAGCCATCCAATGCTTCCAGGTTTTAAATGGTGGTCTAAAATTGATCGATTAATGATCTCAATAAAAACTCAACACTCTCTACATCCCTATACTGATAAGAAGTGATTGTTAAATTTTGTTAACTGATAAATCCAGAGTGATATTAGTTATTTACATGTTGACTCATATTTTGAGTCCTTTCTCTTCTAGATGTTATAACGGTAAAAAATATTACGGGACTAATCATTTGATTTGGTTGTAGCCTTGTAATGGCTTCTCACCAAACTGAACTTATTGATACAATTCGTTACTGAAAAGATACTCATGAGCAGAACAACTGGTTACCGAAAATAAGTTGGTTCATTTGATAAATCTACGTACCTGTATACCGTTTTTTTGACCAAATCAATATAACTAAGATTGACTTAAGAAGTAAAAAGCCGTATGATTCCTATTTCATAGATAATTAATTTATGAAACTAAGCCCTAACCAACAGGCCTGCTCAAAGTCCACCACAGCATTGTTATGATAAATCGACAGGGAGAACAAGATGCTACATCACAAGCCCCGAACGAATTACTTGTCAGCTGACTACCGACTTTCCCATCGAACAATCAACGAGTGGAATTCATTACCTCAGCACGTGGTTGAGGCTCCATCCGTCGACTCCTTCAAAAGAAAGTTGGATCAGCTGAGAGACCATCATTGCCAGGACTAACACAGGCCATCAAGCCTCCTGTCCTTTCCAAACTGAAACTGAAACTGAAACTGAGAACTGATCGCTGGAGAAATAGTTGAGATCAAACTCAAAGCAGTAGAGTACAGTCCTAATTACTTTTAGAGCTGTTAATGGTAGTCGAAATGGTCAACAGTAAAATTAAAGGTATTAGCCAATGTTTACTAGAAATCGATGGTTTGACCAGAAAAAACCATTTTCTAAAATGATCATTCATAGTAGAAAGCATGAATCAATTGAAGTTAGACCACCATGGAAAACCTGGAAACACTGGACGGCCGTTTCGTCCCATTATGGGACTCCTCAACAGTGCGCATCCACGAACCCGCTCTCGCGAGAGAGACTCGAACCCAGGACCTACCAGTCTCAAGCCGAAGCCCTTAACCGATAGACTACTGAGCTGGCATCCAACGGTGTTAATGTCTAACTTCAACTGATCCACGAAGTTGAGCAACCATTCACCAATTGTCTTCAGTGAGTTGATATCTCACAACGGACGTGGTTGAACTATCTTCCCACTATCAACCTGTACTTTTAAATTCATTTAGTATTGTTTGTTTGAATCTTCCCATTGATGTTTAGGACTGCAACTGGTCAGTCTCTAATTGGCATATGTGCATACTGTAAGTATTGTCTCGATATAGCCGTAATTCACAAGCATTGTAAGCAAAGATGGATAGTGGCTAGCAGTGGAATCCAGGACGCGCGTTTCGTCCTATTTGGGACTCGCCAGCTGGATGTACCTGCATCTCAGAGTTGATGTTCACTCTGGGACTCGAACCCAGTACCTTTCGCTTCAAACGCCATCGCGTTATCCACTCGGCCACAAAGTACCAAATAGGACGAAACGCGCGTCCTGGATTCCACTGCTAGCCACTATCCATCTTTGCTTAACCTGTACTTTTACCTATTATGTGCGGTGACGTATTCTATTTCATTGTGATTATTGACTCAAATGGCCTTGATTGGTCTAACATTTTCGTATAAATATTCATGTATATTAGAGTAAAGCCTGATGACGATCTAATTGAAAAAATATTTCTTGACAGAAGTCAGTCAAATTATACTGGGATCAACAACTGGATTTTAAAAAATTCATCAGATTTCGCCTTATAGGTAGCTATTTTAGTTGATAAGACGAAAAATAATCAGTTCATTATTTGGATAACCTAATTAAAATCAAAACCTATCGAGCAGTTCAACCTACAAAAGGTAACATATGTCTAACATATTATATCACACAAATAACTGTAAACTTATTTTTCAGTTATTAACCGTCTTACTTGGAGATTACCACATTTTCTTCTTGTTTTCTTGTATTCCATAGTTTACATTCGCGGTTGTCTCTATTTACTTGCTTACACGATATTCAAGGGAGAAAATGCAATTGTTATAAAGACAAACACTTTCACCATTTCATTCGCTTTATATCTCTGTCTCATCTATTATCCCAGTTGAATTTATTTTTAGCACATACACCCTATTTATTTAACGTATTATATACAAATATCTAGGATCATCATATAAATTTTAAAATGGGACACTGTCAATTTATGAATATTTAAATATGGTAACAATTTTTGCCATCAGTGTACTTCGTACTAATCGCTTAAACACACAGAAAAGTAGCAATACATCCAAAGTTAAATTGGCGCGAAGTCAATTTTCGGTTTAGAAAAAAAAAGAAAGACAAGAAAACTGTAAAAAGTGAACATTGAGAAGATATCCCGTAAAATCAAATTTCACTCGTCTTTTCTTCTTACTTAAGACGCTTAATCTATCTTCAAAATACTACAAATAAATATTTAAAAGACGCAAAAGATTCAATTTAAAAAGTTCACTAGAAACAGTCTCTTATTTAACTTAACTTTATTCTTATGCGGACATTTATTATTAGTCACACCTGACATCTGTTATTTTACCCGCTTTCTCATTATATACATATCATATAAACATTAATCTACATTATTCAAGTTGTATTAGCGCCTAAGCAACAAATATCGCACATGGCTTCAATAATATGCAAGTATTACCGTACATACTTTTTCATATGCTCTATGTACATGTAGTGCTTATCTTTCTGCTGACATATTCACCTGTTTAACATACTTCATGTTTGTACCTCTTCTATGTTATTATTGATTAGTAACCTTGTTTTTTTTTTAGAATTTTTGTTCCTAATATTTATATGCAAACCAGCTGAAAATGAAAGTGAACAACATTTCACATTGGAATTAATTAATAGTCATTTAAAATTTATCTGGATTTCTGAAAATTGAACAGATAGATGATTTCCATACTGTTCAATCATTGATTATACCTTCTTTACCTTTGTGCTTTGGTTTGAGCTATTGCTTAATATAGAAAGTCTTAATCCGACTGCAAATAATTCATTCTCCAGCTTATCGTGAGCAAAATTATAAGTTATACGTCAGCTAATTGAATAGGAAGAGAATCCTTGTGAAGCATTAGTATTCATGACTAGTTCAACAAATAGGGAAACTAATTTCCTTTCATTTTCTTATCTAACCTTAAAGTGTGCATAATAAGTATTTATTGACAACTTGGTCTACATGTACGTTGTCGTATAAACGATTTAAAATGACGAATCTAGAACTGTAATACTCAGTTTTCAGAATCATACTTAGCCTGCTAAATCCATGCACCTTCGAAGTTCACGAGCGTACTATTTAAAATTTTTAATTCAAATTTCGTAGATTGTTAGTCAAAGACAGTTAAACATACCATCTTCTGAAACCATGAACGGTAGTTTCTGATGTGGGCCCTATAAATAGGAAGATAATGTTGATAAGATTAACATAATACAACTAATACAGTAAAAACTCCAATTTGACGAAAAGGATATTCAGTTTTGTATGTTCATTTTAGAATTGTTAAGCCTTTTTTGTAACTAGAAAAGCTTATTGTTATTTTGATAGGAGTCAAATCAGGTATAAATTTCAACTAATTTTGTGAACCTCTATTATAGATGAAAATTCAATAATGAAAAGATTTTATCCTCTGTTGTTCATAGGATCAGCTGGTTTAACCTAGGCTAAGTAAAATGATACATCGAGTTTATTCCTATAAGTGCTCACTGTGTCACTAGGAATACATTTAATTAAATTTATTGTCCGTTAAAGTTCAAATTCTCGGATAGGACGATAAAGTTACTCACTAGTGTAAACAAAACGTGTGAGTAACTAACAAATGCAGTGTTTGAATCACGGTTTTTAAGTTTGATGAATGAATTAATAAGATAAATAATTCTTCCTTATATTAATGTACTACATCAGCGTCACTATGAACTCTAAAAACAGTTCAAGGACCGATACTACGATATCGGGTGTAGCTGACGAACTGTAACCATCACCCATTCAATTGAATTAATTGTAGCGAAAAACTAAATCTTGTATCCTGAAAAAGTCTTAGCATAAATAGTGTTTATAAGCTTTTGAGATTTGTTTATGTTAGTCCTACAAAGAAATGTGTTGACCGTTTGGTTCTCAGTAACAAAGACATACTGTAGATATTTAATGAAATTCAGTAGAAACAGACAATTCATAAACTGCCAACTCATGCACAATGATGCTTCTAGTTCTTTTATCCAACTGCTTAACATGAGTAAAATTTATGCTATTTTGTAAAACGTAACGAATATTTATTGTCTACAGTTTTTAAATGATTTCAGATGAATTTGAAAATCTTCATGTGTTTTGTACCAACCTGGATATTTTCTAAATATAAGTATAAGAAACAACCAAACATGTATGTCTAACAAGATGTCAGGAGAATAACGTTGTAAACTTATAAGAAAATAACTTTATGGACCTTGCTAGGTGCACGAAGTTGAACCAAGCTGCTCAACTTAAAACTTGAGGAATAGATTCCACTATAGTATTGTAATTTTAGTTTATAGTAGTATTGAATAATCATTTTGAACGGCTTTAATCCCCCCCCGGTTTATTAAAGGAATGTATTTCTTAAATAGAACTATTTAATTAGTTGGATATAACATGATAAAATTACATTGTTCCTAAGATAGAACTCAATACTTCAATATCATTAGTAGTTTCTTACTTTCTGATACAGATTTCTTAAGTGGTATTTTCAGTACAAAACCTAGTTATTGGTTGACAACTAATGTCATGTCTATATTTTTATTACTGATAGAAAATAACTTCAGTACCCTAGTTTTTAAATTGAGTGATTGTATTCGATGATTCATAATTGATTGTCTGGATTCAATTGACAGAGATTTAGAAATAAACAAATATCTCACATCTGAATGTACTGTTTACATGCAACTATTTACCTTAACAATACTAAGAATCATTGAGTCACACTTTATTATTAGAAGTAAGGTTTTCATTGAATTTGAAAAGAATATATTTCTCGTCATTTTAGGGGTGCTGCAATCGTATGCAACTATAAAGAGAGTATCAAATGAATGGCCTTTAATTACCATATATTTATCAAACCATTAAAAGCGAAAATGATAAATAATACAAGGAGTTTGACGTAGACAGTTATTAGGTTCTTGTTTGTGGCACTGAATAGTGCGGATCAAAGTTTGATAAAACGTAAGATTTCCTAGCTTTACAGATATATTTTTCTGCAAAATTCCATGATGTGAATAGCCTAGTTTAGAAATTATTGTTTATTGGTTGGAAAGATAAAATACTTAACCTCGTTCAACATGATATGGAACCATTTAGATTTGATGTTTGAAGATAATCGGCATGAAATCCTGGACTTTTGTGCTAGTTAGCACATCGAAGGGGTACTTTCGATGCTCAGAAAAATAGTGTGCCTCATAGAATTCATCCGGCTTCATAATATGAGACGTCACCTTCAAGCTATTCAGGCTTTAACTGACCTGTAGGACCAAGATCATTCTCCTGAAGATTACTGATACATCTTGTTATTTGGTGCCAAATAACAGAAAACCCCGGTTCAGGGTTTCCTGCTGAGAACCTCTAGTCACCTAGCACAACCTAGACTGTTGGTTATATAGTAACTTAATCGGTAAAATTTGATCAACACTGAGGAACAAGCATACAGGACATTGCTATTGAAAAGTACTCAACCAATGTAACCATTCAATTGATGACCACATTACAAACACAGTTGATAGGATTCACTCTACTCTTCAGTGATCAACAAGTATGCAGATGCATATCTCAATCAGTCACTTGTCTACATTTAATTCGTATGCACTGAAACGGATAGATAGAATATAGTTGTAAAGCCAATCTGATTAATAGAAGATAAATATTTTTACTAGCACTAATTTACAGATGATTGTTTCATTTATCAAGCTCTAGCCTAAATATTTCTACATCCCCACTTCCATGCCCATATCAGTATCAACCAGCTTAATGGATTATTTTGAGAAAATACCAAAATGTGAAACAAAATACCTTCAGTGTATTTCTATATTACTGGCATTAAAAATAATTAGGTTTATAGAATACTTTTTCACTTGACCATGTGTAACATATATCAAACAGACCAATAAGGAAAAGCTTGAGAGATAGAGAAAAAAGAAAGATAGGCAAGTTGCCTGGGTGAAGTTAACAGAAACGACAAGATAAACATGTGTGCAATTCAAAATACACACAAAATACGATATATTTACTGCAACGATTCTGATAATGATAACAATAATAATAACAACAATAATAAAGGCAATCTTATTTATACTGTAAATGGGATGATTTATGTATAGATTAATCAAAAGGAGTAAATATTCCAACATCCCTTCCCTACAACTAGTAACATGTGTGTTCACTTTGCCTGCTTCAATGAACGAGAATAAACTTCTAACAATCTCAATGAAAAGGTGTTAGTTTTTCGTTCGTTTCATCTTTGCTGACTGGCCGTCTTACTCCAGAACCGAAAATTGGGTGAATAACGGAAGATAAGAAGTAGCCAAGCATATAGACACCCACACACATGAAACAGAAAAAGGACTGAACCGAATTCAGCATTGAATATAACTATATTGAGAAATAAAGTGATCTACTAGATAGATTATATATTTTATGATGGAATGACGAGAATAAACGTCATAGAGGGCGAGATCTGTGTATTTCACTTGATGAAGAAATTCTGATGATCAAATAAAAAAGTGGAGAAAATTTCACAAAGAATATTCTTGATTATCTACTTATGTATACGGATGCACGTGATCATACTTCAATAAATAGTTATATGACACTCTCCTAAAAAGGATAACTATTGCAGAAATCTATAGTAAGCCAAATAGAACACATTTGCTGATTCTCTCTCAATTAGCGTTTCCCATAAATAAAGTAGAACAAGTCCTAAGTTTTATAGATATTTTTCTCAATAACAAAATGTTTAACATAAGATGAACGTAAATGAGTTTACTGAAAGCAACTTCGTGTCATGAGATTAATTCAGAAAATAGGTTTGAAATCAGTAAATATAAGGATGAAGAAAATGACTATTTTAGGAGTCCTTTCTGAGCACCAGTCAGATCCGTTGCAGTAAATTAAAGTTAATGTGTGTATGTGTAAAGAAGCGCGCAAGCAGAAGCATCTAAATAGTCTGGAAATTTATCTTAGATTCGCAGTTTTTATTATTCCACCAGGACCTGGAAGTTGAGTTTTACCCATTAGATCAAGATCCACTTGACGTGCTGCAAGCCTACCCTCGTTAATTGCATGTACCACGAGAGATTGCCCACGTCGACAATCTGAAATTTCAAAGAAACAGTACGGATAAAAAATTTATCAGTAAAGTACATCTGACATTTCTTTTAACGACATAAAGTATACAATGAATTATTGCTTATGACAAAACAAAGCGGATATATTCAGTGCATTATGGTGACAGTGTTTCTCAACAGTCTAGAGGTCAGTTAAAATTCTTAATCCGAACAAAAGTCTAGAGACCTGTTATAGATTTTTATGCTTTACAGATAAAACAATCCATCTGAAAGTCAAGGAAACATAGTATATAGAGCAGATCATTGATGACGTTAAAAGTCAGTACAAATTTATTAAGCCATTCAAGCGTAAACGTCTTAAGCATTCCCTTGAGTAATGATCAGTTATATGAAAATTCATGTAAGCTTTGGTGAAAAGTACTCGTTAATAACACGCTACTTCATTTGTGAAGTTTAGGACATTACTTGTTCTGTATGTCTTATTTTTATTTTCAGAATGGAGGTTTGTGGAAATTGTAGTCATTTAGTAGTTGAATAATTCGTCCCAGTGTCGGACAAAACGGCCGTCCAGTGTTTTCAGGTTTTCCATAGTGGTCTAGCTTTAATCGACTCATGAATTCAACTATTAAATTATTTGTATTTTATAGAAAAGAGTACACTGAAGAAATAAATTTCTCAATTATTTTCGTAGTTCAGTCAAGATTGATGACTGACAAATATCCAAATTAATTATATCACGTACTAGTGAATCCCACATCTAATTAAGCTTTCGTGGAATTTCGAACCAGTGTCATTCAGTGTGCTGAATTATCATCGATTCCAAAATGAATCACATGGTTAATGTTTAAACATATAGCTCACTTTTTTAAATGGCAACACAAATGTAAAAATGGCGATAACTTTTCGTTCAAACTTCTACTTATTTTGATTTTGTTATACCCTCTCAATTTGTCTCATTTTTGAACAGAAATTAATTTATTCAGTCAAAATTAAACAAAAAAGATTGAATTCACTGGTCGTATTTTTGCCTTTGATTTAGGTTTATGTTACGCAATATATACAAACGTGCTCAAGTCTTTGTTTTGTTGATAAAGTTAGTTTTTTATAATAAGGCTTTGACTGTCATGAACAAAATAAACTAGAATATGTTCCGTTATGTTTGCGACAGGTAAGCTAAATATAACTGTATTTGTTAACTTTTCGTAAAATCTTAACCATACAGTAATTAATTCAAAGTCACTTAACCACAGCACCACTATCATCAATAGCTGTTATTTACTTTCATAGGCATCTTTAAATCTTAGGCTATAACAATGGAAAAAAACTTGGTGTGATATTAAGCGTTCAACATAATTAGGTTAACAACATTGCCATACGGTAGCGTTCAGTGATTTCAGAAGAAACCCAAATTTGTAAATCAATTTAACAAATTAATAGTAATGTGATTCCTAAAAATGCACGAGTACAAGATAATAAAGCAATTGTAAATCACAACAATTTTCAACATTTCCATCACCAGTTGCAAAACTCAATTTATAACAGTAGCCAATTTACTTTACGATTATATGTAGTACACCCAAACCAGTCCCAAAGAGTTATTTCATCATTCATACAGACAACCTGATAAAACTTATCTATTGAATTGGTTTTTCAGTTTCAGATTAATAAGTCTTAAAGGTTTTCAAGGAAATCGTACTGCCATTTCTGTTTTCTTCACCGAAACCATGCAATAGCAATGATACTTTCATTTATTAATCCAAGACTGAATACCCTAATGCTCTCCTTTCTGAGTTTATAGGTATCACTGTCAAGGTTGAACTTGATTGTTCTAGAGAAATGGGTTACATTGAGTCACGAAACGTCAAAAATAAAACTTTTCTCCTCATTTGAATATAACAAAAAGTATATTTATTATCTCTCCTTTCTGTTTGCCATGAAGGTATATACTAATATGTTGTGTAGATATAATAAAACTTAACTAAACTAATCGTGGAATATTCGTATACTGCTTAAATAGAATGGTGTTTTGTTTTATTTATTCACTTCATTCTTTTTGAGTAGTATTTTCAACTTTTTTGTATAATAACAGCGTGACAATGGCAAAAATTATCACTCATTTTTATCTCAAAAAGGGAAGCTGTCAAAATAAAAGCAGTTGAATTTAAAGAGAATAGGTCAATGCAGAAGTAAGTGTTTTTGACTTCTTAGCACATAAATATATATGGGACTTTAGTGAAGTTATATGATGAGTATCGAAATTATAAATTAGCCTCTAAAAGTTCGTGCCTTCAGCTTTTATTTTTGTACACAACTTAGATCAAATTCCTTAGACTGTATGACAATAAGTTGTTCCATGTTTTACACAAATTCATTGGGATATTCTCCAAATTCCATCACATATCAGACGTTGCTTGCCTGACTGTCTTCTACTGAAACTCACTTCTCAACTTAGCATTACCTTATGAGCAATTTGTGCACCTGAAAGTTATGGTAATGACGTCTAATTTGTAAAAGATTACTTATTTTTTTAATGCAAAACCTTTATCATGCAGCTAAATATACAGGTGACATTTTGATGTTGGTTTGTTCTCTGAGCTGGATGGTTTGGTCGTGGAGCTTTCATCGTCCTTCTGAACGACATCATCAGCACAAACTTCGGGTAGAAGTGAAGTGTTTGAATTTCTCAATCCAATCTATCAACCAATCAAGAAAATTATGCAGGAACATAGGAGCAAAAATCAAACCAATAAAAGATACAACCAAAATAAAGAAATAAACAATGACAGATTTAAGGTCAATAAGAACCAATCAACATCGAGGTACAGAGGACAAGCTGTGAATCACATGTGGAGAAATTCAAACACTTCACTTCTACCCGAAGTTTGTGCTGATGATGTCGTTCAGAAGGACGATGAAAGCTCCACGACCAAACCATCCAGCTCAGAGAACAAACCAACATCAAAATCACCCACCTGAGCTACAAATCTTCTCCACCATACAGGTGACATCTAAACAAGAATCAAGTATTTCCTAAGTCCTAGGAAAAAGCGGATGATAGGAAATATCGGAAGAATTCGTCAACTTGTTTAAATAACTAGTTATTTCATCATGACAAGCACAATGTTCTAAGAAGTAATAGAAGTAGACTGAATTAACTATCCTACTTCATTATTTTAAACCAAGCAAATCAAAACCAGATACTGAGTATCACTTAACAGTATAAGGGCGAAGATAAAGAGTCCTTAAACTGAATATTTACCCCCAATTTGTTCATTCTACATAACTATATATTTCATATAGGTTATATTAGTGTAACTTTATTTCGAAAGTATGTCTAACTGTAAAGTTCTAAGGGTGGTACTTCTTTAAACTGTATTGATGCGTAAATAAAGGTTCGGAGTTTGTCGATAAATAAACTTTGAAATGATGGAATGTCTGTTAAAGCTGAAGAAGTAAATTGAGCACAAAGTTTAATATCCTGGCTTATCAGGTATGATTCGGATTCTAGAAAAGTGACGATAACAGATCACTTAAAGGCCACTTTTCTATAGCACAAAATAACTAGAATAGACTTAGAAATACTGGAACTCTTAAGAGAACGTGTTTTTTTAAATTATAAGGATTTTCTCAGACTACAAATGATGTTACTAACAATATATAACTATTAGATTTTAGTCTGAATACAAATAAAAATTGGAAACCTGAATGGAATTAAGTAGATCTCACTTACCTCCTGCAGCATAAACCTTAGGAATGTGTGTAGTGTATGGTTTATCGGGTAGCACTTGAATAACTGACTGATTAGTCAAACTTAGTTCAAATTCTTTGGCTAATGTAGTTTCAGGTCCCAAAAAACCCATAGCTAGTAAGACCAAATCACATTCAAATGTTTCCTCAGAATCTAATCGGAAAAAAATTAAAAGAGGAAATTTACATTTTGCGAAGGTTCTAGTTCATTGATTATGCTGAAATATTTCAAAATTTGATAGATAATATTATAACTTAATAAATAAACATACTATTTTAAAACACTATTCATATTAATAAGTAAACAGCTTATCATAAAAAAGTCTTCAAAACTTAAGATAATATTTTGACTGGAATCAGAGTGACCAATGATATTGTAGTGTGGTCTACTTATATCCATATAAGTAGTATATGGTGATGGTCAGACATAGAATGCATTTTAGCAGAAGACCGATAAGGAAAGGACTGAAATGAAGCGCAATTGGTAGGAAAATGTATGAACAATGGAACTAGAGAAGATGAACTGATATTTACAGAAGGAACAGTGAAGATTAAGACAAATGATTGTTATTAGGCAAATTAACTGTTTGCTGTATGGTTATCAGAATTTAGTGAGGTAGTCTGTAATTTGTGCTTAAATACATGCGATTGTCCCCAGTCGTGTCCTTGTTCACTGAAATATCACTGAAGGCATAAACACATGACTGTTCCGCTTAAAAAAGAATTTCAATGCCTTTTGAAATTTTTACTACACAAATCATGAACTTGACATTGGTGTTTCAGATCAGTTATTTGTAAAGTTCACTTAGTTTGAAATCTATTTCATCAAACAAGTGTTATTTTACAATTAGAAATTTTGAACTAATGAAAATGTTTTTTGGTTAATTAAAAGTTCAAAATAACAAATTATTCAACATAGTAATGGATCATTCATAGCAGGTGAGTAGAAAAGCGAAGAACGAACAAAACAACAGTGGCATACAAGTTTTCACATCGAGTTATCAATACTTGGAACCTGCTACACGAAGCAGTGGTGTCCACACCTTCAATTGACTCATTCAAGAGGAGACTGAATACTCACGGAAGCATACTAGAAGAGGAATAACATAGGCCATAGGCCTTCTGTCCTTACTACACAAATCTAAATCTAAATAAACAATATGTCCTTTGACAAAGCTCTATATTATTTTTATTAGAAATTAATATTTTTTATGTGAATTCACCACTTACTATTAAGTTTAAGTTCTGGATTATATGAACAGGGTAACTGTTTAATTAAACTATCATGTTGTACGTACTATACTTCATTAAATTTTGCTTGCATTTTAACCTGGTTTTAGTTGATGCTTGATCGTGTATTAATATAGATGAAAATGTGATGAATAGTAATTTTTTAACTGTTAAATTGCTTTGAAGAACGCAACAATCAATGTGAATTTTCTAAAATATAGTCCAAACTAATCAATTAACCATGAAGACATATACTATGATCTAATTTCTCTGTTAGGAAACGTTTCACTTATACCTGAGCATGCACCATTTCTCGGAGATAAAGTATGACATTCAAAACTATCTTGTATGTTCTTCGGAGCAAACAAAATAGATAGTTATGAATTCAGTAATTCTCTGACAGAGTAATATTGTAAAACAAACTATGAAATTTACTTGGTACTTCATTCATTAACCACTTTCCGGTACTTGATTTGGTCCATTCAACTTTAGCAGTACGTATCCCGCCTACTGATCCTTTGCCGTTGTCTAGAAATTCTTTAGTTATTGTATTAAATTGTCTTGGGTCTCCATTTATACGAACAGCAACCTCTGAGTGCCCATAATCTACTCTCCATATGCGAGGCCATTCAGGCCATGGATTTTCATTAATATCACGAGTAGTTGGCGGCGGTGGGAGAATCTCAAACACACGAATATTTTCGGCTCCCTGTGAAAAAAGTAGTTTAACATAAGACTTTTAGGAAAATATGAAATGCATCATTTACTTAAAAATCTCGTGTATAGAAGATCGTAAATACCCCTTAAAAATTAAATAAAATAACATTCAACCTAACGTGAATTAATTATTTTATGTTGAACACTTTGATTGGATTAAACTAATTTTTAAGTGTTTTTGTTATCAAATCTTCTTGGACTTCTCTTGTTTCCCCAAACTATACTAGACGATTTTCAATACTCAGGAATGGTTATTCAATATTATCTGTTCTATAGAATCATTCATTTTAGAGTGCGAAATAAATCTTTTTGTTCATTTTTTATTTCATTCTGATGAAGTTATAGCCCGAAGTAAGATTGCTTCTAATGTCGGCTTTAAAGCAAATCAATATGGTTCTCAAGACTATCAAAATAGTTCAACAGCATCCTATGATGTAAATAAATTGCATTCCGCTGAATTTCAAAAGAAATTAACTTCTGAGTGAAAGTTTATATTATTCAGCACTTTTGTAGATATCTATGCTTATTTTGGAGTTACTGGGTATTAAAATATATTACTCTCACAATATATCATAAAAATTTGACTTACATGGCGTACAGATGTAGCAATACAATCAACACCTGTGTCACCCCCACCAAGTATAACTACACGTTTACCTTTGGCTAATGTAGCCACAGAATCAGAATCAAAATTATTGTCGTTTTGAAGATCAAAATATGTGTGCTTAATCTTATTCTTGTGTTGATAACGTTGCCAGCGTTCAAGGAAACTCATAGCAAAATGAATACCTTGAAGTTGACGACCTTTAAAGTAGAAATTGTGTTAAAAATAAGAATATTATTGTAAGATCATTACAGCAACATATTCCTAGAAAAAAACCTTGTTTATAATGATGACAATAATTTCGGTGAATATCTAACTGTAAGGATCACATGCAATTTGAAAAAAGTTAGTGATTACTCTTAATTCTAAATATTTCGAACATACTATAAATCCAGTATCCAAATAAGAGTTCGTATCACTAGATTCCCAACCATATTGCTTTAAAAGTAGATTACTACCTGATTTCCCTCTCCGAAATGGTAACAGGTGTTCGAAACCTGTGACTAAAGAATATGAATATGTTTAAACAACCAAATTATAACTCTACTAATAATAAGAAAAAAAATGCTCAAAAATAACTTCATTATTTGACGCAGGTATATTCCCAGTCGTTAAATAACTTCATTGTTTTTGAAAATCAGCATTTATCTCATTTGTGTCATTAATTTAGTGTTAATGCGACAAAGCTTATTTACTACTAATTGGGACACGTGTTACGTATGCCCAACCACCGATTGCCCCGATGTGCGATGTTTTATGGTGTAGGAGTAAGTTGAAAGAAAGCTAGGGGCGGCCAGACCAAAATGTGGCAAAACTCCTTGAGGTCACTGAGAAGTAGACTGAGCCATGTTGGTAGGTGTAGCCTACCTGGTTGGGATCTGCGAGACGATAACAACCGATGGTTAGAGACCTTGAATGAGATGACTCAAAATCGTTTGCAATGACAAAGGTGCATCCACTATTTGTGTTCTCCTAAATTCTAATCTGAATTCCTCATGTCTCTTTTTCCTCTTTCCAAATTTATTTTACTGGATTATACTCCTTGAGTAACATCTTCGAACCCTAATGTTTGGGATTACTGCTTATACTCTTACTACTTCCACCACTATAGGATTTGAATCGACAATTGTGTCCCTGTGCTAATGTTGTATGGCAACTTGAACTGATGCACGTACGTACGTACGAAGTTCTACGTTGTTGATGACTAACTCAATGCAACTTAATAGAGATTTTAAAAATCACCATCTCGTTAGTGGATCAACTTGCATTTTCAGATTTCATGGTGACCAATTGTTCTGCATTATTCAAATCTACTAGACTAGTGATACTGAGTAACTGTCGTTACTATTAAATTGGTGAAAGGTTTTTTACAGAATTTGTTTGATTGATAATGCAATCAAAGACTCCTCATTGAAACACTTCCCTCTTATTCTTTCAACCTTACCTATAAGTTGTTAGTTAAGTAAAGTGGAATTTTCGAAAATAGTTCAAAATTGACGTTAGATATCGAGTGATGAGGGTTAGTATACTTTTAGCTTCATTAATTATCCTACCTACTCAGGAAAATATTGCCGCTGATATCCAATCAAGGATTCTGAAGATGACTTATGTACATTTAACTTCCTGGTTAATTTGAAAAAACCGAATGGTATAATTATCATCTTATTCACAGTAATTTACAAATTAATACCTGGAATATTCAAATCGCGAGGCCAAGTGGCACCCAAACATAAAACTATTGCATCAAATTCATCCAGTAGTTTTCTAGCTGACCAAATGTTTTCTTTATCTGCTGGATCGCGACAAACAGAATTTAAATCTCTGGGTTCTGAGGGTTGGCCATCATTACCGACGCGTGTATTTAGCTCAAACTTAACGCCATTAGCTTTCATTAGATTTAATCGGCGATCTAGAACTTCACGAGAAAGTTTCATAGTTGGAATTCCATATCGTAGTAAACCACCAGGTAAGTTTCTTCGTTCGATTACTATTACATCGTGTCCAACCTGTAAAAGCAGAAGAAGAATAGTTACTGTGATGAATAACCAATACCAAGAGGAGACTCAAACTTAACCTTATCTTCTTTTTCAAAATATTTAACAAATTCTCCTTCATATCCAGCCAGGCGATTCAATACGCTAAAGCCTCACATTACGACATTCGAAACTCCTTGTCTTTAGCGAAACAAACATATTCTAGATTTTCTCTCTATGTGAATTACTTTGCCTGTAAGTTTTCTAGGCTCTGGAATAATTTACCTCAAACTATCCATATGTTAAACTCTCTCCCATTGTTTGTTCGCTCAATTAATGCCTTTTGCTCCTCTGAAAATGCATTAAATGCTCTAGCGCCTGCAAGTGTATCTTACTCCACAAGCGAGATTATCGGAACTTTAAGTGTTTAACCTCTTACTTGCTATCATTGTTTTGTTGTTCCGTGCTCTTTGCTTTTTATCTTACTTTCTCTAGTTGTAGATAATTATGAATAACTCGCTCTGGCACTGGAAATAACCTTACAGAACAACGTTGACTAATCATCAGGCTATCCACTTAAGAAAAAATGACAAGTTCCCTGGTGTTGCATTGGCCTGCCGTGATATATGCCATATATAAACTATTTATCAATTACTAAACCAGCAAACATAAAACTTTCTTATATTTTATGTTTGCCCTCTACATTAAATGTTGATTTTTATAACAATCTGATCATGCCTGTAAACTGGTGTGAATTCTGTAAATATTATTTTCAGAATATATATTATTATTATTTACTGTGCAGTTGAGTATTTTATGTTGTGTTTAAACTTATAATAATAAAACAAAACACTTTCATACTGCGTGCTTCGAATTCGAGTTCTTGATTATATATTTAAGAAATTCTAGATTTATTGGGACCGGTACTATTTAATTATATTATTTCAAATTTAAAGCTGGCGTCACGCTTACTTCTCTAAATTTGTTGTTACAAAATGTTCATCTCTATGAGTTCCGTCTTTAAATTTCCCCAGTAAGTTTGTTTGAGCATTCAACATGAACTATGTTCAGTAGAAAAAGACTCAACGACTACACAGCTAAAAATTAAACCAAACTTTTGTTCAACTAGAAAATAATTATTGCTTTTTCCAAGCATTTACCTTATTTAGTTGATCTGCACAAGCTAAACCGGATGGACCGCTACCAACAATTGCAATACGTTTACCAGTTGGTATACGATTCTCATCAGGAATAGGATGTAACCAGCCATTTTCCCAGGCTTTGTCTGCAATGGTACCTTCAATATGCTTTATAGTCACTGGATCAGAGTTTATACCAAGTACACAAGCACCTTCACAAGGTGCTGGGCATACACGACCTGTGAACTCAGGGAAATTATTGGTTTGTGCCAAAGCAATATGAGCAGCGTGCCAATCACCCTGCATAAAGCAAAATCGTAAGAAGAAACGTTTATTGTAACTCAACTAAATTTATGAAACCACGAAAGTGAAAATCGTTATTAAAAACAATAATTAAATGAAAGAACAACATGAATTGAAACCAGTAAATTGATCAAAATCCTACAAACTAAGGGGCTTATCAGAAGCTCAACCATATTTATGTTTTTTGAACTCACACCCCTTTTTGATTATTGGAGCATTCAACTTTCAAGCATACGGTTTCACGTTTGAAATACACATCTTCTTCCTCTCTTTTCGAAAGTTGGGATTAAAACTAACCAAGACACCTTAATTGTGGCTCAAAGCCGAATCCATATACCTATAATATTAATGATCACAAACCTTCCAAATAAGAACATGTGATAAAATCTTCAAGTACCCACTTATTGCATGATTCCTAATTTTCACTAGCTTTAATATACGTTGAAATCCTCATTTTCAGAAAAATATGAGACACCCATGAAAGATGTCTAGTGTAAGTACCTCTATTGGATGTCGTGCAACCAGTCACTTTAGACGTTTACGATAACAAAGAGTGAGAGCTGCACACGAGTGTGGATAATTCCTAAAGCAGCAAACAAAAATAGTATCTCACAGCTGATCTATACAAATAACTGAAACAGATAAAACTGGAAATTTTCAACAAAGGATAAGAAATAGATGCATGCAACATTTGTTTCGTCAGTGAGATAGAGTTCAGTCTTACTAGATTCTACAGTTATGTAAATAACTGAGCTAAAATAATGAAAATTAGCATCTATCAGCTATGTACAACATAGAACCTAGCACCCATGGGCAGCGGTTCTAGTTCCCAGTTCAGGAGACTATATTTTGTAAGCGTTTTGATCAAACACGATTATGTCATCTGTGTATTTTAATTCAGAAAGTGAATCTCCTGATAGATGATCAACCCTTAAAAAGTCAGACGATGAAAATAGTGTTTCTGAAAGGATGTCTGTGGTAATGTTAAATGAAAATGGAGAAAGTGAACAATCCTGTTGAGGTTGACAATTCCAATGATAGTTCTTTATAAACTTTGACTCGATCATTAGTATTCGAATAGAGAGCAAATACAAGGTTAATATCCTTTTTTGGCACACCTAATAAGGGAAAGTGCTATAGAACCTCTTAATTACCCAAGTCAAATGTAACCTTGAGGCCAGGGAGTACAATTTCAGTCCAACATTGTAAGGTATGTCTACGTGACAGGATATGACGAAGAGAAGAATGCAGGCTAAGCATTAACATCTGGATCTAAAACCTGTCTGGCTTTCTTGGGTTCGCTCTTTACAAGCCCTAGTTATGTATCGGATTACTATTGAGAATAATATTTTAGACAATACATTAGTTATACTGATAAGGTAATTTCTATCGATGCCGATGAATTTTACCAAGACGTTACATTGCTGATACACTGGTTTATATAAGACGTGAAGTATTGCAAATTTTACGGGAAACATTTTCATATATAATGCTAAGCCCCTGTATGTCTTAAAACTCTTTCCTTGAAACTAGCACGACTCAAGAACAGAATATTTATGATGTGTTTGTTCAGTAATGTTAAAGGTAGAGAAATTATCTGAATGATGATTCTATTATCAAGTATAGGGATAAATTTATCTATAAACTATTTAACAAACCTTGAATACCAAGTCATTCCAGTTTGGAATAAGATTCCCAAGAGGACACCCAACGTATGATTGACAAAATGGCACACCACAATCCATACAGCGAGCAGCTTGTTTGACCAAACCTTGGCGTATTTGTTTTAGAGCGTAAACCTCTTCCCAGTCTTTTACACGTTCTTCAACTGGACGATAATTTTGCTTCTGTCTGGCATACTTGACGAAGCCGCGCACTTTGTCCAGTTTCTCTGTTGGCTCATCACTAATTACATCTTCAATATCTGTAGTTTGTGTCTGACAAGTACGACAGAAAATGCAAAAAATTAGTGAGCTAGAGGAAGCAGCGCAATTCCCCTGTACCTAAGACATTCACAAAGTGGGCATAAATAATTGGTAATACTGAAATGTAACAAAATAACTTACACTAAATTTCATACTCCAGACTTTGAGCTAAGGGTGTCAGTTACAAAATTATGAAATTACTTACATTAATTATTAATCAAAACTCTAATAGTTGAATTATATTTCAAAAAGAGAACTTACAAATCCTTATTTCTTAATTCGATCAATTTAATTTTTCCCATCATTACCCTTGTTCGACAGAAGAATAAAACAACCAGAACTTGCATTCTCTTTAGAATAATTAATCCAATGTGCGTACAAAATATAAGCTATTTAAGAGTATGATTCAAGATATTTGTCTGGATTTTATCTGTACAGAAAGACCAATGGGATAAATTTAAAACGATGTCACCAATCTTCAGAAATTCTGGAGTTTATGGTCGTTAGTTAGAAACATGTATGATAAAACTTGCTATCATGGCGCACTTGTAATTAACTAAGCGTACTTAGATTACTGTATCATAGTAATAAGAAATAATGCAGGAATTTATTTATATCTAAGATTGAAACTTATACTTGTCTTACTCCTAATTACTTTTTACAACACAAAACTTGAGAAACTTAGAGGTTATGAGAACTTTTTCGGTTAATATTATCTAAATAAGCCAAACTTTACACAGAAAAAATCATAAGTGAAAGGTGTTCTTACTCCATGAGCATTGACTTTATTACTTTCAACAAAAGGACTAGTTTTTTGTACCTTGGAATCAGTAGCAGTTGTGGAAGCTTTAAGTTTGGCCAATGCATTCTTATAATCTCGTGGAAATACAAGTACGAAATGATTGATGGATTTATTCCAGTCTGCCAAAATATTTATCCCGACCTATAAATGTATAACAGAAAGAACACTATAGAACTTTGTACACTGCAATAATTGATAACGATGCTAAAATTATAAAGTAAAACTTCTGAACCTTTATAGTAAGAAAAGATCAGTAGTGAAGCTTACATTCATGTTGGTACTTAATATAATTAGCTTGGTGGACTAGTGAAGTGAGAAATCTCAAAGTTAATTAATGAGTTCAAAAATATTTTTACCAAACAGCATTCAGATCTGATGGTTAGGACATCTAGTCTGAAACAATTATCATATAAATAAGAATAAAGCGAAATTTTTAATGCTGAGTTATTGAGTATAAATGATATTTTTTTGACAGACATGACATTGATCACCACCTAGTGATCAATCAATTGTGATTACATTTCAGTCCTACAGGAGATAGGTTGCGGCCCGAGTAGCTCAGTGGTAACGTCTCTGACTATGAAGCCGAGTGATACGGGATCGAATCCGCCAGGGAGCACCAGTTCCCTCAAGATTACAGGTACACCTTACTGACGAGTGCCAAGTAGCACGAAACCTGGGTCCAGGGTTTCCTGTTGACCACCTCCAACCACCATGTTACCTCAACAGAGTGCACGCAGAGTCGAGCCACCTAGACTAGTGGCCACATTGCAACTTGATCGATAGCATTCGATCAGCACTAAGAAGGACTTGACACGCATGACATTGGTCACCACCCAGTGATCAGTCAATTGTGATAATTTTTAATCATTAGTTTATTGATAACAAAAATATCCGCTAATATATATATGTATATTCAAAAGATAAGTTTATTATTTATGTAATTGGAGTTGGAAATGGGAACTCACTATACATTAACAAGCACTTTAGGCCCGCTTAAAAGTTAAATACATTGGCATGAAATCCTGTGTTCGAATTCAGTTAACATAAGACTTTGGGAAAAAGGTTCACATAATATTTTTAGTGTCTGTGAAACCCATTTAAATGTACCATAAAGCCTTCTAATATCACTCAAAATAAACATTGTTTCTAGAAATGCTTCTATAAAACTAACTGGACAAGTATGTCAGCTTCATACAAGGGTAACTCGCAGCGTATTAGTAATTGAATTGTAAATGATGAAATTAAGATGAAAATGAATCATAGGTCCACGGCTAACGTGTCTGATTTTCTGACTAAAGCCGTTAAATTCTTATCATATGGAAGTTCGATCCGACTTTTGATCCTTTTTCATTATCTTTTTGATTCAATCAAAAGTAAAATCTGTGAAAACAAGTTGTGTTATGTATGCGAAATATAAACACTATCGAACAAATAAAATTTCTATATACGAATATTCATCATAGGTGGATTCTTTCTTAGATTTTCCCACCGTCTTTTCTCAATTATTAAGCAGGTACGCTAGGTTTTAGATCAAATGAATGGAAATTTTAGACATGTAATAAACTTGGGCCCTTGATGTAAAACCGGAAGGGTTAACTACAGTCGTGACTAGTGGACTTTTAAAATAGCACATTACGAAGTATATTTGGATGTTTTATGTTATTTGATTGACAGTCGTACTGATAAACACTTAATAGTAAAAAACTTTTAACGCATTTAGAAAGTTATGTTACATAAAATACATTTAAAGTAATTTACAAATGAAAATTTATAAGTTTTTCAAAATCTACTGAAATAGTATCTATGATAATATGAGGTCATTCAGTATGTAACTGATACCTTAGTCATTGAAATTCATAGGAGATTAAAACAACCAGAATCGTTTGAAATACAATGAGCGATAATCGACAACTGTCTGCTGTTGCTTCATATTTCGTAACGGAAGGCAGTAATGTCGGTTGCGACAATAAACGTTTTTAAATTAGTCAGTTTGTAATGGCTGGTACTATGTCAAGCCCACATAGGCTATTCTAGCTTCTGGACAGACCCTCTTATTCATTCTTTTCAAGCCACATTTTGACTTTGCTACTTTTTCGCTTATAAACTTTGCTTTTATATGGTTGCATGTGTGTGAATTACTCAACCTATTAATTACGTGTCTGTAACTTATTTTTGTCTGAATACCACTATTGAGTCATGTTTGATCAAAACGAGTTGGCTTACTCGCCATCTCCACTGCGCGTCGCCTTGTTTAGTCTCACTTCCTTCGCTTCATTTCTCTGATTGTCTGTTAGGATCAATGAGTGTATGAAATATACGTATTCAGAATTCATTCTCGTATTCGGCTTATTGTATTCTGTTATTCTCCAACGCGAGTCAAGTAGGCAAAAATACACGAGGATTGGCGGTATTCATATTTCGATAACAATCAAAATACGTGGGTGCGCACTGCTGAGGAGTCCCATAATAGGACGAAACGGCCGTCCAGTGCTTCCAGGTTTTCGATGGTGGTCTAGCTTCAATTGACTCATGATTTCAACTTTGAAATCAAAATACGATTTAACTGGAGTCAGATATAGGGCCAATAAAAGTTTTCCTAGTATACTTTTGTTTTTACGAGAAGATATGTATTAAGCGTTGAAACTAAAATCTATTTTGATTAGAATAAATATTAACTAATTCAAGCAAAATTACTTGCTACGTAAAGAACACGTGGTTTCCATTTCTGAAGCATTTATGACCGATTACAAAAACTAATAGATTTCTCGAAACACACATAAGACTTAATTGTATCCAAGACATCTATCTATCTATCTGTCTGTCTATCTATCTATCTATCTATCTATCTATCTATCTGTCTATATATATACGTATATATATATGATACGTCACAATGCTGGAGGAGAAATACTTAGAAGTAAGAAGGGGGAATGCAAACTATTTACAACCAAGGGAAAGATCATACAAATCGCTTATCTGTGCTAAGGCATAATTTATTTTCGTGAATGTAATATCTTGTACCTAATCTCCAGAGTATCATATCATACATTTTGTAGAGTCCAAGTAACTTATCGAACACTTGGAGCTTCAACGTGTTTTTAAACAACAATAATGTTACCTTGACTTGGCTGTTAAAATATCTTGAATGTTGTAAGTGGATTCAAGCATCTTTGATCATTTTAGAGTTTTGTTAAACATATTTTGTCGTTCCTACGAATCAAATATTATTTTTATAGTCATGTTTCATGTAAATGATAATATCAGTACAGTTCTTACTTTCCTACAAGAATAATAAAAATTCTTGTCATGAAATAAATATGTTGAAGTTCCGAAGTAAGTAGCAAAAGATATAAACGTGAGTATACGAGGTCATTCGAGAAGAAATAAGGGGCTTTTACTCTGTCAGTCATTTCATATCGTTCTACTATCTACTCTAACCATTCTAAGTAATCATCTTGATTTATCTTTTAGACGGTGCTCCAAAAAACAGCAATTAGACGTAATTCACATCATACTTGCGGTAATCTTGTTTAACAAACATATGCAGAAGTTTTACCTGTGAATCGGTTTCTTTTACAAATTCAACCAGTATTTCTTTAAGCCAACCACTGTATGTATTCTGTGAATTCATCAACTCCAAATCGATTAATTCCATATTGCACTTTTTTACAAAGTCTCCATTCAACCCGAGTGGGTCATAAACAAAGGCTAGACCACCTGACATACCTGCAGCAAAATTACGTCCAGTACGTCCAAGTATGACAGCACGGCCTCCAGTCATATATTCACAACCATGATCACCAACACCTGCACGATCAAAAATGTTTGACAGAATAAACAAATCATTATTTGACGATTGACAAGAAATGTAGAGATAAAAAGTGATTCAACTTTCAAAAAAATGGTCAGGAGTTATCTATTTGACTTTTAGCAGCAATCATTCAACTTCAGTGGCAGCTAGATATGCAGAAATCATAAATTTTCATACTTTTATATATACCCTGAAAGTAATTATAACTAGCTCATAAATTGTTTGTCTATCATACTAAATAATAATTAGATAAACTGAAGCCATCTTTGCTGACATGGATAGATCTTGAGTGTAAAGCGTTCTTAGGAAGTTATTGTTAATGAATTGACTTATTATATAATTATAATACTTGCTTCTATTGAATACCAATTCTAAACCGTTAGTATATATCGCAAACTCACAAACTGTTTATAGAAATTCTTCATCTAATATAAAGATATGTAGTCTTTAGGTAGTGAGCAGGTTAGTAAGTGACAAATGGTGGATGGATAATGATCAGTGTAAAAATGCGTTTCTCTTTGGGTTATTTTAAAAGTTTGGATGATATCACTAGTGGAGTCCCAAGCAGAGAAGAATCCCTTTTTCTACAGCAATAGAAATAAAATCTTTTAACACACACTAGTAACTGAATATCCATTAGTAAATTGATTATGAAAGAAATTTCAGTGAGATGAGGTCATTGGGAGTAACAAATTTCTCAATATAACAAAACCTTTTCACACCTAGGATATAATTTGATAGGACTTGTCCAATAAAGAAGAGAAACAAGTTGAAAGATCTTCACTTTGCTAGACTTGAAGTACATCAACTTTGTGCCCCTCAAAATACTTCTCATTTTTGGCGAAGGGCATAACTAATCTCCCATTATTCATTGTCCCAAAACACCCGTGGAAGTTTTCAGAAATAAGGCTTCTCAGTGACCTTGTAGTTCCATAGTTTGCCGTTTATTCGCTGTTTCATTTTAGCTACACCATTACCACTTTTAATTTTGAAAGTATAACAGCACAAGACACAAGGTAAAGCGATTATGGTGGGTAATCTAGAGAGGTGACAATATTACAGGCGAGAAACTCGTAGAAAGCCACTACTGAATATGATGGGATATTATTATTTATTAGGCAGTCGTCTATCAGCATCAAAGATATGGTCACACAAGACATACTACTAAGATGTAAGTTCAAATGTAATTCACATGTTCACAAAAAGATATACTCTACCGATGTTTGGCTAGTGAAAGTAAGACGTGATTGATCACTGTGCACACTCAGCTTACTGACTACTTGATATGTAATTTCCCGCTTGTAACTGTATTGGATAAAGTATTGCCGATCCCTTATTTTTAGTCGTGAATCTTGTGTCTGGTGTAATATGATCCAGCGTGTGTATAGCGTCTAGTTCGACTACCAAGTCTAGTGGTAGTAAAATCTCGATCACCCGTAGTATTATCGTATTATATTAGTATATAGTGAAAAACGGAAAATAATTTTGTTCTGTCGTTATATAACTTTTCTATGTGCATACCAATATCCAGTGGCAAAAAACTTCCCATGATCTTCAAGTACTTTGAAGTGGATTACATAAACATCCTATGCTGTTTCACCATCTGCCTTACTCCTTGACTATGTTCTCGCTCTTAATTTCCGGATTAAATACGCTTTATCTACCTGTATAAAAGTTGTGAAATACGTCAGTATATTGTAAAAACAGCTAAAACGTACTTAAATCAACGGAAAATGACTGAAACTTGTGTTTTCGGGAAAGTTAAAAAGCTTTCTAAATATATTGTTAGGAATTTGCGTGAGCGAAATTCCAAATGAAAGTTAGGAGCTAGTATTTTCGAATAAAATTTTATTTTAGTTTACTGAAACTCAGACCCATTAGGGTTATAAATCATAAACAGAACTTTCAGCAAAAATTAACATCTTGGAAATCTCTTTTAAAATCAGTACTTGAATGATTAAATAATTGATGAACCTACCCTCAACAACAACAGTAGCTCCGGAATTGCGTACGCAGAATCGTTCAGCTGCCTGTCCTCTTAAAAAGAGACGTCCTTCTATGGCACCATATAAGCAAACATTACCGACAATTAGGTTATCTTCTGATTTATATCCTTCTTCTAATAAATGTTTGGGTGGAACGATTGTGATTTTTCCACCTGATAAACCTTTCCCGACATAATCATTTGCATCGCCTTCCAGGCGAATATGAACGCCGTGAGCGAGGAAAGCTCCAAAACTCTGACCTGCACTGCCACTGACATTTACCTACATTCATTTGGATGATGCGATGAAAAGAAAAAAGTTATCAGAATTATCGCGTTATCCAAATTTGTCAAATGAACTAATTGTTTTAGATTTCTAGGTTCATTTGTTGAAAAGATATCACATCACTCAAATCTAATTTAGTGAAAACTTAGTAATTGGGTATAATTAGCACTATTTTCAAATTATACGGCGTCTACAGCATTTCATAATAACATATATACAAGATGGAAATATATTCACTTATATGTACGAGTCCCATGCGATTGGTGAGGGAGCTTTACTAGTAGTTTTGTGAGTTACTTTCCACTTCAATACGTGCCTTTTAAAATATGCTTACATGGTGAACATTTGGTTCAGTGTTCAAATGATGAAACATAACTCGACTAATTTTATGAGTAATAGTTTGTATTTTCTATTGTGAACTTTTACAAGGGTTTTAGCTTTACTGTGGATCGCCCATTCACTTATTTGACATAGTTGTTTAAACTTTATTTATCAGATATCCTCAACGCCAATATTTCTTTGCCATACGGAATGTGATATATTCATAAATTCGAATACAAGTACATTTTTTGTAACTATCATCAATTGTTAGTTATAAACAACCTGAGATTTCTTACTAACGTGTACCCGTAGTAATACTCAAACTGTAAATCAATCAAGATGATGGAGATTGATATGATGTGTATCAAAAAAGTGAAAATCATAATATCATGGTTAACCTCAAAGTAAGCACGGATCGAGAGAAGTAAATGAAACAGAGTTGTGCTAAATTTCGAACAAAACGTTGCTCAGGATTTGCAGGAAGTTAGCAAATAAATGTATCTGATATACTGTGAATGATTTTCACCCATGTCATCAAAAGTTTACAACTTGTGATAAAACGGCAAAATCGAACAGTTATTTCAAAAGCCATTTGTTCTTAGTTGATGAACTTGGTTGTTCGGTATTTCCGTGGGCAATAATTTAGGGAAATATTGGCTATGATTTACCTCATGATTATGTACTTCTAACGAGGTCAAATTATTACACAATATAACTAACAGATACTTTCACTACTAATAAATAACCCGAATGACGGTATACACTAAATTATTTTACTAATCAATATGCTTTGTTAACTGGGGTTCTGCGTTATTTCAGGATTATACTCATCTTGTCCATCCGCTGCGACTAACAAGATTGACTTATTTTGTGATATCTTTCGATACTGTTCAAGCAAACCAGTGAAATAACTGTATTTCAAGGATTCCACTGTTAAATAAAAAACAAAAATCGTGTGTGTTCAAGCATTTTGGATCGTTATCTAGTTAGAACCTGACGAAAATCATTTATGCTATCAACATTAATACTGATATTCAGGTACAGTCACTTGTCGAACCTCAAACATGACGGAATGCGAATCTTGGATTACAATGCTTGTGGCAAACCAAGTCCATTAAGAATATCTCGGTTATGCTTTCTCCCTAGAGCTACCTGGTCATAAGGATGAATGTTTATTCTCTAAAGTACAAGACTAAAAGGTCTCCGCAGTAGCAACATCATGGTCACAGCACTGGTAAGCCTGTTGCGCTCACCCATCTGTAGAATGAACTATTAAATAGTCATAAAATGTGACTCAACCTGGCAGGACATTAGACTATCACCTGTCTTGTCTACGTAAATCATGTTTTATCGACGCGTTTAGTTGAGTGGTTAGATATTGCGAAGTATTTGCATACGTATCCAAATTCTAGTTTAGACTTATTCTACTGCGTTTTAGTCACATAATACCGTGCTGTATATTTAAAGCCTATTTTACCTTAACTGAAGGGTTTTCATTTGGAACAAGCTCTATTGAGTGCCGCATTCAATTAGGTTGGCATAAATTGAGGCTATATTAACCAGGTGTACCCGTAAAAAGCTGTAATCCCCTTGCAGAGAATTGATTATCGGAATTATTCTTTTGTCAACTAACCAGATATCTTAATGATTACAAACTTTGGCAAACGACATCAGAGAAAATAACTTGGTCTAACTATTTCTTCAAAACTTAACACAGACTGATTTACATGAAGAGCGACACAGTGATCAAAATGACTTCAAAGTACTTAACGCCTTGGAAAAAAATTGTCTTAGGAAACTAGAAGCTGAATCTATCTATGGATACAGCTCTTAAAATCCACATATATACCATTTTACAAACATGTTAGAGTGCTAAACTTCTTACAAAATTACCATACTTATCTTTTATAACACAGAACATTTTGAGCCGATGATAAAAACCTCTTTACTGTGGTAATCTTTTGTCAAAGTTTGACTGTATCATTCAAACAGTTTTCGAAAGAATTAGTTTTTCGTGGAATTAGTCGATAGAAATCGAAAAGCCAGTCGAAAACAGGGACTAATGAACAGCCACTCAATCTTTTTCGGGTTCCAAGTTATGGTCGACGAAAAATCTGACTAAACAACACTCCCGTTAGCTAGTGAAATTTCAAGTTAAACGATCTGAGAACAATCCACATATTTCTTTAATTTCTCCAGAATCCTAATAGGGAATTGTGGATCCTGAGATCAGTTGGTCAATACCATCTATAAAAATTGCATCTTATTATATAGTTTTTAGCTTTCTACCTGCAGTTCAAAAGGCATTGTATTTAATGAAAATTGTGAGTCTTTAGTTCAGTCGTCAGAGCACTTAAAAGTGAACACCTTAGAGAATCTAAGACTATGAACAAATAACTATCCGATATTTTAGCAGATATCTATTTACGGAGAGAACTATTATCAAATTCATTGAGTTTCACATTTTTTTAACCTCAAACGCCTTATGTTCGTGGGTTCTACATCTCAAATTAATCAGATTTACAAGAGTTAATCACTATAATGAATTGAACAGTAAAATAATAAATATGCACTGAAATGAAGTTTTAAAACACAAACCTCACTATCACTTTATTTTCATTTAGTACACTTCAGTATATACTTTTAGAGGCTAATCGGTAATTTATTTCTAAGATGAACTCACTCGTCAAATTACAAGGTCATGCAACATGATTCCAGTATGATTATGCGAACATAGTCATAACAGGGTGAATCTTATTCACTAGATGATGTAGTATATTAGTAGTTTAAGTCTATTGGCATTAACTTCCAGTAGAACGTTAAAATGTAACTAAGTTATTACTTGACTGTGGTTGTACTTTTTGATAATAAATTGTATTCTGAAAATGTGAACAACTTATTCTGTAACTGTATGCTGATACTGAAAGGCTGATAAATTGGTAAAAGTTTCTTTTAATAGATACCCTTAACACAGGTGTTCCACCGGTTATATTGACACAACCTTCACACTTACCCAGAACAATTATATGATAAATTCAAACTATATTAATGGTTTATATCATTACAACAACTTACCATAATCCGTCTATTATGTGGTAATCCTTTTTCAGCAAATTTGGCTGAAATGGCGTAACTTAGAGTAGTGCCAACTGTGCGATCTGAATTATTAATTGATTCGGTCACATATACTACTGATTCAGAAGGATTGAGTTCTATATTTTCTGGAGCATCGATTAATTTATGAGCAGCGCGTAATATTATTATATCTAAACGACGATCAGCCGGCAAGAGGTCAGCAAATGATAATGTTGTTGGATTTTCACGGAAATCTTTCACTGAATCACTTTGTCTTAATGAACCATAATGCACTTCATCTGGTTCCGTTTTAATCATTAAACGGCTGAGGTCAATTAGCTGAGATTTTGCAGTTAAACAAGGTTTTCTAGGCTGTATTGAAAAACAGAGAACAAAGGTTTGGGTTTATTCGACTGATAAATAAAATTATTCTTGTTGACATAAGCATCAAGCTGTTCTACCAGTCCATTAACGTGTATGCAGCCAAATCGGTATGTCAATTTATAATTTATTCAACTTAAGATTCTCTATAAACGAGTTTACTTTTAAAAACGTACATTATTTTTTAGTTGAGTAATATCTGTACAGCTCCTTCAATTTCTTATCATTATTCGCTACTATATTCCGGATAGACATAATTGCAAAGTTTCTGCACCACAAAGCTCTGGAGGACGAGCTAAAATATCTACCAACATTTTGATATGTTTAAGTCCTCGATTTTCAGAGTGAATATTGCTTCAGAAAGTATTTATTGCAGCACCAAGATTTGGAACTATACTGATCTGAGACTTTAACTCTGGTGATAAAAACTATAGTTTCCAGTTAGTTTTTCAATCCGTCAACTAAAGTCAGTCTTCCTAAAACTAATTTCAAAGAAATATACTATTATCAAAAGGCTTGTTCTGGGGATATTATATTAATTTTAATAGTTGACATAATGACTCAGTTGAAGCTAGACCACCATGGAAAACCTGGAGGCACTGATGAGGAGTCTCACAATAGAACGAAACGGCCGTCCAATGCTTCCAGGTTTTCCATGGTGGTCTAGCTTCAATTGATTCATGATCTCAACTATAAAAACAGTGATTATCAACTAGGTTGAAGTGTGGAGACTGTAGTTACACTTTCATGTCAGTCGGAAAATTTTCGACTCTGACAATCATTAATTTTGTTTTGTTTAAAGCTGGTATAGATTATAACTCGCTCACTTCTATCTATTTTATTACTTGTGTATTTAGTGACTACACATCCTTGTTTCAGCCAGTTCACTAAGGTCACCAAGGTTTTGTTTTTAATAGTTATTGGTTATGAATGCCTGGTGATTTGATAAATTCGTTACTTAAAATACGTTGCTTTAATGTCGAAAGTAATTCGGAACTACATAAATGTCGTTAGCTGCATTTTATGAAAAATACTTATGCAGTTTGAGGCGTGATATTTGATATTATTTGTTTGGTTATAGAGGAACACGAATAACTCACTGTGCAGCTTTTAATTCCAGAGTCTATATTGTGAAACCTACCAGCTAGATACTATAATAAAACTATGGCTCTAAGTGGCTTTAAATTAAGGTAATGACGAATTATGTATATATATAATTCTTTAAAGAAACAACCATTTTAAACAGCGAAATAGAGTTACTCAACAAAATGACAGCTCTCAGCATTCACATGATATGCTAGAGCGCTTCCAATTCTTGAAAATATCCAAAAAGAATGTTAGAACACATATAGTTAAATTTACCTTCAGATATTCTGTACGTCCAACAATTTCTCTCAATGAAGACACACCCAAACGACTTAAGTATTGTCTAACTTCTTCAGCCAAAAGAAATAGGTAGTTGATTACGTGTTCTGGGCTACCAGCAAATTTCTTTCTTAGAATTGGGTCTTGTGTAGCTATTCCTACTGGACAAGTATTTAAATGACATTTACGCATCATTGTGCAACCTAATACGATAAGTGGTGCAGTTGACATTGCGAATTCATCAGCTCCCAGAATGCATGCTATGACCACGTCTCGTCCTAGGGTAAATATTGAACAGGGGATAGAATGAATAATATTCATCACATAATAAAATTTATCAAGTAAGTAGTGAATGAGAATGAAAGCCGATACATTAAGTAGCAGATAGAGTTAAATCAATGATCTCTCGATACCATATCTGATTTATTTAACTAATTGGTCTGCAAAAATATATTAGCTAACCAATTTTCGATATAATGATATTGTTTCTTTGTCTATAATTAGTGTAAAAACTGTTTACATAACCAAATACTAATTGAATTCACGTTCATTAGTATCTGAGAGGATAATATCTAGTCGGTCATTAATTACTTCATTTGAAATTGTATTATAAATGGAAATATATGATGTTGTTGGTCAATTGTTAAAATCCAATTTTGGGTTAGACTAATTTACATGATGATTCCAACTATTTAATTGTAAAATATTTTGGATATATACGGAGATCAATTACGTTAAGAAAATCCAGGTATCGGGTAGGTTTTAATATTTGTCCTAAATGTAATTAATTTACAGCATTAAAATAAGAACAAAGCAATAAGCAGTTTAATTTAATGGTGAAACTTCATGGTTGATTAAATTCAGCTACCTATGACACTGTCAGATGATTTGCGTAAACCACTTAACCTAAGTAATTAAGCATTGGTGTTTAAATCATTATTACTACGCTTGACTATTGTAATTTTTGTAAGCCAACCTGAGTAGGTTAAATAAATGTTCAGTTCAATCATATTAAATTTTACCTTATTCGGAAACTAACAGAAATCTGATTTCCTATAGACTGCTTAAGTAATCAATGAAGGTATAGTCAAGCTTGTTGAAGACTAATTGTGTCAAAAGTTTGTGAACAGCATACACCTTATTATAGTAAAAGATCATGTTAGCTATAAAAGATTGTTCGCTATTCCTACCTGTGCGTATTTGTCCATCAACCTGAAGTTTAACTCGTGAACGCGCCTGTTGACTGGTCAGGGATTGATGAGTCTCTGCAATACCCAATTCCCAAGGAAGTCCAGCATGTTTGATTCCTGTCCAACTACTAGCACCAGTACCACCATCATGACCAGAAATTGTTATATGTGCTGCGCGAGCCTAATAAGCAATTTAATGTGAAATATGTGTCAATATAAAAAGGTTTGTTTTCTTAAGTTACTTAAGTTATTTCTTTATCATGTTTCTTGGCAATATGGCGATAAAGAAACAAAAAGGCATTCCGTCAGTTGTAACGAAGTCAAAGGGCCAAGTATGGTCTTGTAGTAAGTTTTCACTTTTCCTCATGACAGTGAATAGAAATAACTTAATAATGTGAACTAATAAGCTGTCTATTACATTAACAGTTCTTTAGAATATTGTTAATCCACTCTACTAATAAATAAAAGTATTGTAGTTAAATTTTGGCTTATCGGTCAACTTCGTTTTTTTCATGTACTTTAAATCAGTAAAATTACTAACTAAAGTGCTGTTTATCAGGAAGTTTGAAACTCTGTCACAGTTTGGATAAAGGCTGGCAAGTAATTATGTTGTAAATAAAACAAATAATATTATGTTGTTATTATTATAATAAACCATCAATTATAACACTTGTCAGTAACACTGGGAATAAATGGTAGGTAATTCCTTTTATATTTAGGAAAATTTTTATGATAATAAAAAGTTAATTCCTTACCTTTGCCACACCAGCAGCAACGATACCGACTCCAATTTCAGATACCAGTTTCACACTAACCACAGCAAATGGATTGGCTGCTTTCAAGTCATAAATCAGCTGGATTCAACCAGTGTTTGGAAAATAAAAGTAGTGTGAAAATTCAATAATCACGTATAGAAAAATAAATATTATCATGGTACTGGTTAAAGTTTATGCGATGTAATTTAAAGTATATCGTGTGTACATCTCATTTCATTATTAAATATTCAGTCACCTTTTCATTCCACAGTGAAAACAGGACTCTTTTTAATTGGTGTTGCAGATTTCGTCAACCAAGCAATGGGTTAGATTACCTTCTAACAATTATAGGTTTTGCAATATGGAGTGGTCTTTGTTCAGATCCGTTTAAAAATATGTAGGCTTATTCCGCCAAAATGACTAATTGTCCGGGATAAAGATCTCCATCATTTTTGAAGTTCAATATTGAAGTATAGTAAACCAGAGGAATTAAACATCCAGTACTGGCTAAAAATCATGGTACATTTTTAAGTTCGTGAATTAGTTTCAAACCATGAAATCTTCAGCTTGACTGAACCACAATACTGTTCGAAGAAAAAACCCTCACTTTAATAGGTAGTTAAATTTGGCCTTAACTTATCAAAATTAAGCATCACCAGATACCGTACATGTGTTTCAATGATCTAGCTTATGTTTGAAAAAATTCGAACAGCCATTTATTAATCTTTTCGATAAAAGTCTACTTTCACAAATTATAGATGGAAACCTTTTTATTGTTTGTGCAAGAATACTTCTCAGTATATTTTGAGTAATTTAATCAAATTTCTACTTTACAAGAACTTGGGTAAAATGTATCATTCGTATTAAAGCAAAGGTATTTTTTGTTCAAAGTTCTTATTCTTCGCTTTCTACATATACTTTTTATAACTGGAGTTAATCAGTAAAAAATATTTATGACTAATTAAAAGATGGAAACAGAATGGAACGTATATCGTAAGCAGGGAAATGTTCTCTGAAATTAATGTCATAATGAAGCTCTACTAATTTTTTTCCGAACCCTTAATCGGTTAGTAATAGTGCTAACGTGTCTTTACAAACTGTTAATTTACACAAAATGAAAGATCTTGCTATTGTTTATTGAGATTGGGACCTTCATAAGTCCTGAAATCCTAACTTCAATCCATCATATAGCTTTTTCCGTAATGAGGAAATAATTTGAATTCCTGATTCATTTAAAAAGTCAACTATTTTGGTGCCAAACATGAATAAGACAAGTTTGAAACTTCACAAGTAGTTTAAATGTTAAGGTTAGCTTTAGTGTGTTGCCTGATCATTGAAATGTAATACAGGAAACCCTGTTTGTATATGTGAACGTTTACATATTTTCATTTTGACTGAGTATAGGAAAATTTTGGTCTTTCTTGTGACATATTGTGCAAAGATGTGTCTACATTATTTTAAGTTCACTTAAAGTGGGATATATTAAGTGTTATCTATTCCAAGTGGATTGAAAATTAAATAAACTATCAAACAGAAACTAATGAAAGTAATATACACAAATGGATAAGTTCAGAATGAAATGGTGACTCCATTACTTTTCAAAGCTGATTGTCAAACATTCTGACTCCATATAAACGCCCACTCAACAACTAGTCCGCAAAATAGGATATTTCTTTTATAGATAATTCGAGAATAATTGATCATTTTTCTCCGTTCTATAACAGAATGAAGCCGCTCAGAAATTCTACTGAACATTTACTAAACTGTAGTAAAAATCTTGATGTAAGTGATTGTATTTTGGGCTCCAAGATGCTGTGCAATATGTAGGTGTCATATTTTTCATTACTTTATGGTTATCGACTATTTCGATGCTCAATGATTTATGCATGCTACTAAATATCGACAAGTAAAATGATTATTCTAAATTAACATCAGATTTCTTAACAGACATGTGTTAAATGTACTTCATACGGATAAATACATATGAAAATTTACCTGAGCTAAATCTTCTATGGAATAAATATCATGATGTGGTGGTGGACTGATCAAACCCACACCAGGCACTGAATAACGTGTATTAGCGATCTCCTCAGTAACTTTATAACCTGGCAATTCGCCACCTTCACCAGGTTTAGCACCTTGAGCCATCTTTATTTGCAGCATTTCAGCATGGGCTAGGTATGAACTGTTCACACCGAAACGGCCTGAAGCAACCTATGTTTAAATAGGACGATAGAAGGAATTAAATTATAAATGGAAATGTTAAAATCGTAAATCTGCATTTATTTTCTTTATCATCAGTGATTATAAGTGGTTTTATGTCAAACCAACTAGGTATATCATGATAAATACACCTAGATGCTATCACTGGTTCATTTAGGTTATGGAAATTTAATACTGTGATCCATGACTTTATTTCACTGATTCTTCTCAAAGGTGATCCTACCATCAAATTAACAACAAATGGTTTTCTTGCAATCAACAAAACCCTTTAGGGACAATTTCTAGTCCGATATTACACGTTAAACATAGAAAATTGATGCCTTCTGTCTCACAACGCATTCAGAATCTAGCCTACCATGTCTGTAGAAACACAAGGATAAAAATTCTTTTAAACTATTTTCTTCAAGATTATGTTCAAAAGGCGATTTCGAGTAACAAGATTAGTCCCCACCTTGTTAATGTAGGTAGAAGACCAATGTTCTCTACAGACGTGGATTAACTTGAAACTTGTCACGTAATCGATATTACCGGTTCCAAATAAGAGGTACTTTGAACTAACTATATGTACTTTTAATTGCGTTCAGAAATAAATGGTTTACATTTTACTAGACCCCACTAATTAAACAGCTGTAGTGGTAGGTAGTCCATTTTGCATATCTTCGTCCAAGAACACCGTCAAAGTGTTATTTCGCTGCAAATTATGTTAAATGCAATACTATTGTAAAACATTACAGAATTATTTTATGAAGCAAAACACCAAAGAGACCGTTTTTAAATTATATGTAAATGGGTTATCAGTATTTATTAGTTCATTTAAATAATATTTCTTTTTTGGTTCAGTATATGATGTAAGCCAGAAAAAATAATACATTATAGCATAAATTATTTATTCCTCTTTAGTATATTCTTAGTGTTCGTGTTTTATTTATTATTGATCTGAAAATAACTGTGGCAACCATGGCAAACATGGTTGGTTGACCGAGAGAATAAACCAGACGCTGGCTTAGGTCTTTTTGTATGTGTCGCATTTGTCTAAAGGTCATTCTCAAAAATAATTTAAAACTGTCCAATGAATTGTAATTTACATATATCACTGGTTCGTAGTGAGACATTTGGTGTACTTATATAATGAAGTATTCATGACTGCTTTTACTATGCTGTTAGTTGCTGGAGCCTAATCAAGCAGCAGCCATGGAATACAGAATTATTAAACTTGATTCTGAACTTAGGCTCCTGTAAGAATCGTTTACCAGATAGTACTTAGTATTCTATCCAAGTCTGTAATGCTTATTGAAATGCTGAGATCAAGTCATATTATTAATGGTTTACACTGTTACGTTCAATGTTGTTCATGATATATTCAAACTGTATATAAAATGAAGTCAATATGTGATATGAATGAACCTTTCATTGTTCGAAATTTACCTGTTTTATAGCAGAACATATTTCAGGATTCTTATAACGTTCTGGGAGCTCACCTCCTTCACCAGTGTTCGAACGTCCACCAAGTTTATTCATAGCCCTAGCCAAAGCAGTATGAGCTTCTGAAGAAATACTTCCCAAACTCATTGCACCTGTAAAATATAATTAAAATTTAATGTTGATTTTGTAATAGTTTTGAATGAATGGCAAGCAGTCGACAGTATTTAAACTGAAGACGGGATTTTGCATAATCTTGAAGCTTAAATGGTAAAACATCAGGATTACATAGTGTTCGTTTAATCCTGCCACTATTTATTTACTTATAATTTAATCATTACTGAAGTATAATATTGAAGCTTATGTAGCAAGAGAGATGGTATTGTTTCTCAAAATAGAAATAATATTTCAGACACTTTTCTACTGAATATATGATTCAAAAATATTTCTATTTTTGCTATGAAATAATGACAAAATAAGTAATAGAGAGACACAACTAAACACAGAAAAATTTGAAAGCATTCGATTAAACCGAAAGTACACTGAGTAAGTAAGAGGATTCAGGGTAAAAACCTCTTTCAACGACGTTGTTTACTAGATCCTTACGACCGTATTTGTAATTGTTTCACTCCCAATATTCTGTCATAAAACAGAAATGCCGCGTGGTTAACAAGGTTATCAATAATGTACTGAAAATCTCGAGTATTTCAAGTGTTTTGCCTCAATGATGTAGCTAGTGAGGTATTCGTTAGTTTATAAACATCTAAATCACCAGTCTCTAGCTGAAAGTTTTAAAATACTAACCTGTGGAAAAACGTTTTACTATTTCTACAGCCGATTCCACTAAGTCCAACGGTAAAGGATTTTCCGAATAATTAAAATCCAGCTGTCCACGTAGAGTGCAGTGACGCGAACACTCATCAGAGACTTGGACAAACATGTTGTAAGCTTCATGGCTATTATTACGGGATGCAGCCTAAAGTTAAACATAATAATAAAGACATTAGTTGATATAATCACTCTCTGATAAAAATGACTGAAATTCATTATTTCTCTAAAGTTGTACTGAAAGCAGTAAATAAAGTACCGTTAAGACTGACAGGTAACTCTAATGCTATAAGGTTAAGATTTATACTATAATCAGAAACATTATGTTTATCGCGATTGGTTAAATATCAAGTAGTTTAAGATCGGAGTTTCTTCACGTTAGTGTAGAAAGTAGCGATAATCAGTTAGTGATAATCTGGTTAATCCTCGTGATTTGTATTGAGTTTGTAGACCTTTGTTTTGTATCCCTCGGTGTAATAACCCAGAAATTTGTATCAACCACTTCTTACCATAGTAAACAAACAATTAATCAGTATTCTACCTTCCTACAAATATAAATTTAATAGATAATAAACGTTACAGTCCAACAATGAACAGTTGTGAATGAAAAATAATGGCCTACACAGTGGAGCCAGTTTAAAAATGTTATCGAAGTCCCACAGTTTTAAACAATTAGTAAGATAGGATTTCGAAATAGATGTAAATATTAGTAAAGTAAACAAATAGGGAGGTCGAAATTATTTCAACACTTAAGATTCGAAACAAGGTGGGCAACACAAACCAATGAAGTGCATTCACCATAATTGCTGTCAAATCCATCACTTAACTTTCAATAAAAACTTTCACTGTATACCAGCTTATGGTATTCCGTATACGATGTTTGCTTCAAAACATTGGTATCACAACAGAAATCAGACTAAACTTCAGGTTAAGTAAAACTCTATCAAGTAAGTATCTCTTAACCAGTTGATGTAACAGATATGCAGGATCATCCCAACAAAGACATCAACCAGTCAATACCCTACTTATCGTTAGCGCGTAGTATTCTCTGACTGAAACAAGTTATTTGATTACTCTTTTGTGAGTCAAATACATGTTATCAATAGATTCAAAGAGTACGTAACTGTGATTATTAAAAAATTTTGTATTGAACTTACCTGAAGTTTTGCTATCACCTCTGGGCTGTTCATGTGATTTTCTCCACCAAGTCTCCAGTGATAAAATCCAGGATTATTCCCGAACTGACCAAGATTATCAAGTACTTTAGTGCAAAGTGTTTGACATTCTGGATAGGCTAGTCGGTGACGTGCGGTAACCTCTCTTGCTAATATTTCGAAATCTGCTCCGCCTACACGACTTACGGCGCCACAGAAACACATATCAATCACAGATTGCGCTAAGCCAACGGCTTCAAATATCTGAGCACTCTTGTAGCTGTGCAATGTTGAGATTCCCATTTTAGCCATCACCTGCATAGAGATAAATGAAATTAGTACCATATAATGACTATTAAGGTCAATAATTGACCAGGTTGCCGCTATTACGATAATAACTACGGTATGTGACATTCAGTGGACGGAACAAGGTGGCTTGAATGGTTTATCCCAAACCCATAACTTAGTCTATACGACTACCAAAATGAAAAGAGTGTGAATGCATAGTTGTATTAATTGTATGGAAATACACTCAAATTATTAGGAGTTCAAATAATATTTGATCTGTCACACAATTTGATCTGAAAAGACTTGACCAATTCGACGCTTCCAAGCCTGTTTGATTTTGAGGTTTCCATAAATTCTCATTTAATCCCTTTGGTTTTAGTTACATTTATTTGAATTCTCTTACCACAGTGAATCTGAATCTAGTTATCAAAAGTGCAAACGTGTATCATAGTTTAGCAAGTTATTACTTATATTGTGGGCATAGGAGTAACAAAAAGTATTCAGATAAGAAAAGTCAAGATGAGGAACATTTTTATACTTACTTTAAGTATACCACGTTCAACAGATGTTATGAAACTTGAATATAATTCTTCTTCATTCACAACTGTAGCTGATGTTAGAAGACCTTCACAGTTCAAACGTGAGACAGATTCAAAAATTAGGTAAGGACATATTGCATCTGCACCAAAACCAATAAGTGTACAAAAATGATGAACTTCTCTGAAATAGAATAAGTAATAAATGTAAATTATGTTTTGTCGATCTCTGGTCTTAGTAATGGTTTGTTTTTGTTTAATTAAACGTGAAGCTAATATTTATATTTTAGACACGGTGTTTCTTTGTCTCAGAGATGAAGAGCAAGATCAATCTAGACAATTCATAAATATTTAATGAAATATCTTTGGTTAGTGTCTACTAGACAGATTGTAAACATCAAGCATTTCAGTTAATATTATGTGTGTCATGAACAACGTTTTTCTTTGTTGACAGAAGATGACTGACAAAATAATATAGTTTCTTAAGAAAATTTTGTTACTGGTTATTCAGTCTAAAGTACACAACAGTAATGTAATGACAAATTCAGAAATTAAATCACTCAGGAACTAAGGAGATTCGGTTGATATTAAAGGTTATCTTGATGGTTGAGCCAACCTTAAAGGTGGAAGTGTTATTATTACATCATGAGTGGTAACTTCAGTTATTTTGATTCAGGTAACTGAGTGACTGTTTTCCTAAATATTTGGGTTCTCCTAAAAATTACAGTTCATTTTAATGGTTGATAAAGTAAGTCCTTTTAAATTTGATCTTATTCGAGTTATAGTAATATCAAGATATTCGACATCACAGTAAAGTTTGGCTGATTTGCTTGTATGTCATGTAAATTTATCGAAGATGTGTGTAGCAGTACTTCTAGATAAACATTTGCACTCGAGAATTCTGTTACTTCGATCACTTGAATATATTCTTTATCCTGAATATTTGTATTGATTGAAAGTGTAGTATAAATTACTAAAATAATAATCGAAAATCAGTTAACGTTTATCCATGTCAATCAAGTAGTATATACTATTTGAACCGAATTTTTGGAAGAATTAAACTTACTTTGATTCACCCGTTTCCGCAATTATCCCAACCCTCATGCGAAGCTCACGACGAACTAAACGTTGATGTACCGCCCCTACAGCTAACAGTATTGGGACAGGAAGCCGATCTCGACTACTGGCCCTATCAGAAATTATTAACAAATCCACACTATCGTGTAAAACTGCGTTCTCAGCCTTATCACAGAGGTCTTGTAGAAACTGGAACAGTTTCGATCCCAATGAAATTTCTCCAGAACCTTCATTTACAGATAATGTAGTATCCAAAATAACACTACGCCAAGAGAGAACAGTACTTGTAGTTTTTACATCCTCAGATTGTGATGGAGGATTGCCTCCTAGTGATCGTAACAAAGCCATATCCTTCAATGACAAAATCGGATTCGCAAGCCATAAACGATGAGTTTGTGCTCTGGATGGAATCAAAATATTTTTCTGCGGTCCGATAGGACACATCTAAAAATTAATGGAAAAAGATGGATAGAATCAATCTGTACTTAAATAATCATAAATATGCTGAACTAAAAATTACTTTTAGGAATTCATCAGTACTTTTTAACTCCTTGCCTTACAAGAAAGGAGTCTTTTATACATGATTAAACTAAATGAAAATAATAGAAACCCAAAAGTTTTTGTAAACTAAAACATTAACCAAGTTAGCGATCTTATGACACTTGAGGGCACCACTATATATGCGCAGCCTAGAAGACAGTTACCGTCCCATGAGAAACGTCAGTATAAGCATTGTTTATTTTCTCTTTTACACCAAAATATATTATCTAATTTGTAGTTTTTATTGGGGAGAATCAGAAAAGTCCTCGAAAAAAGGCAAAATGGGCCCTGAAAACTCTGAGATACATCTTACCCAATCAGCATTCAATAGAAGCTTACCAGAAACATCTAAAAAGTGAAAGGTCACTTTTCTGATCGTGTGATTACCTGTCTTGCTACTATGTTTAGTAGCGTTCCAGAACTTTCGGGAAACGCAGGGCCATCTAGAATGCTATAAATACCCTAGATTTCCTGTTCATCAACGAACCTTGGAGTAAAGCGTCTTCCCATATTTCATGCCTTTCCTCTCGTTTTTAAGTAACTGTGCAGATTTAAAATGGTGGTTACTAGAAAAGCCTAAAAAATATCTAGAATTCATTTAGATTTATCAGTTTCCTGTCAAGATCTTAATCCTCATGTATTCACTGACTCAAATTAACTCACCTCTCATCAGTTTTATTCCTTGCCTTATTAATTTAAATTCATAATCTACTCTGTTACTGTATTTAGTAGAGGTGCTATTGCATTGATTGAATAGGTTTAATCAGCATCTTCCACTCAAATCCAGTCGTCTGTATAAATTCACTTATTAAATCCCTTTACATCTTTTTTGGTAAAAAGTCCTAGTTATTCTTTCACTTATAACTTCATTGGAATTTGATAAGATTATATGTTTGCATGTTTATCAACAGTATACATGTAAGTAACTGCAGAAAAGAACAGAATGTAAGTTCATAGTATCATGGTTGATGTCACTATATAACTGGAATTTGGTTATATAGGTAGCGTTTTCAGAATCTGAATCAAGTTGACCGTGATTCCAATGTGTGTGATAAATGCACATTCCCATTGAGTTCCTGTTGGCTTTCTTTCGAAGACTGCCAATTTTGAGTTATTTAATTGTACAGGATTTATTATTCTATTTAGAAGAACACTTACCAATGTCATTACAATGCGTTCACGAAATGGATCGATAGGAGGATTTGTGACCTGAGCAAATAACTGCTGAAAATAGTCAAATACATGGGGATTTTGTTCAGATAAACAAGCCAGTGGAGCATCATTCCCCATAGATCCTAGAGCTTCTTTGCTGAAACAGAGTAACCATGTTTATATGCTTGAATAAATAAAATGATTCGGAATTATTAGTTTCAGGAAAGATACGATATTTCATAATTGAAGTTATAAATTTCACGGTTTATGAAATTCCAGTTATATAATATTTTAATAAATAAATAAATAAATAATATTCTTGTGATGTCTCAATGGGTAGAAAAATGAGATTTTCTGACGTTTCGTGACTCAGTGTAAGCCACTTCTTCAGAGAATAAATAACCGAAATGGCTTACACTGAGTCACGAAACGTCAGAAAATCTCATTTTTCTACCTATTGAGACATCACAAAAATATTATTTATAACAATTTATCCAAATCTCAATTTATTCAAAATTATCAAATCAAAACTTGGCAATGATACTTACAAACTCATTATATATAATGTTATAAGTTAGTCGATACTAATATTATAAATGTGTCTTTGTCGGTAGTCACGTTTTGTCTATAACCAAAAAATCATACGCTTTAAATCAACAACAGTGATATTATGCTCTCATATTTGAGGTTATTTTAGTCGGTTGTCACAAAGCAAAAACCAAACAATGGGGTGAACTTATTATCTAACATTTTATTTACAAGTAAACATTTTTGTCAGACCAGAATCATGAAGCAAATTAAAAAGGTTTTTTGTTCCGCCCATGAATTATCACGAGTTACTAGCCCACACAAATACATACACACACTTTTCAAGATCTAGATTCATTCGACAGTTCATCATGTGTTTACAAACTCTGGGAGCAACGGTGTATTGTTTGGTTGAAGTATCAAACAAATCATAAAACAGAATTCAAGTTGTCACTTGAAACCATAAAAGGTCACGTTTTCCGCTTTGCTATTCTATGTTTAATATAATTAAAATCAAATGTAAAAGAACAATGCTGTCCACATGCGTTCGGTCAGTCATTAAAAAACTGATCCTTTAGTGGATATTAGTAACAAAAGTAAATCTAGAAAACTCTTATTGATAAGATTATCTAATAAGTAAATAAACAGCAGGTTTGCAAATTTCGTTAAATTATTCTGAATTTTCGAGTTTGTTATAACAGACAAAATGCTGTGGTTTGTGTTGATTGCGATCAATCGCTTGAATTACTAGTGTGGCAAGGTGGTAGCTTCTCGCACATCCTGTTTATTGAAGCGAAAAGCATCCACTGAACAGATGTCAGGGGACAGAGTGGCCTGTCAGTAAATATGAATCAGAACAACGTTCTCCATTATCACAAGCGGTCACTGTCGGTGCGTTCGGAGTAGAAACCGATAAGAGGAAAGGATATCATGTACTTAACAGCCGGTAAGCTGTATACCTGTTTGCTCACACTCAGTAACCAATCATACTCACTTCCACTACCACACACAAAAAATCTAGAGCGCATCTTATTTCACTCTTTTATTCTTTGTCAAAAAATCAGGCTGAACCTGTTCAGCCTTTAGCATCATAACCTTGTACTGAGTCAATTTAGCTTGTAACTGTAAAAAACAGTGAAAGCAAGTGAGCAAATTCGTAATTTTCTATGATCATTAATCATGTTTCAGGTGAGAAATGGAAAACCCTGAGAAACATTCAAATGAAGTAAGTTGACATATGTATTGGCAAATTACCCTTCGTCAGTAAATTTCATTCTCTTTCTGATGATACTATGTTAAGAGTCAGAGACGGGAATGAAATAGCATTTATTTTAAAAGAAAAGGTGCATGAACATCGCTTTTTATAACAGCTTTGTGTTTTACGCTATGGGAAAGTAACAAAGTGGGTTTTTAATATCTACTTTCACGCATATCACAGAATTTAAATGAAAGAAAGGTCACTAATAAAGTATAAGGCTCAGGAGAACGATTAACTACCGTCTGTTATAACCTAGTGAAGATTAAAGTACGAGTAACCCCAAGGATTCATTAATTGACTATTATTTTATATATATTCCTATTGTATAATTATTAAGTGATTAGATTGTATGTATCTATATTCCTCTTATCATAAGCTTCATTTTAACATATGGATTATTATTATACGATTTACTATTCCTAAATTATATTCACTTTATTGACTACTGTCTCCTACGTCCACAGCCACATTTTAGCTTGATCTTGTACAAATGTTATTTTCTATTTTATGGTGTGATGGGGTATGTTTGGCTGGTATATGAATCGAGTATGCTTGAAATAAATGGTTCGCATAGCAGGATCTGTTATTGGTGTTCTGAACTCAACTGGATGGGCTAGGCAGACAGAGGACCAAAAAGGACGCTAGGTTGTTCATACCAGTTGAATGTCATTGTTTTGGCACAATACTAAGATTAGACAAGTCGTATTTCGATTGATGAATAAACCACGTGATAAAAAGCCGGGCATAAATGCACAACACCGTCAATATTACACAGTTAACAAAGGTGAATATCTAACACCTGACTTTTGTGAATCATATTTAATTCTATGAATAAAAGGTATGTATATTTTTTCAAATACATAAATAAAAATAACTTGAATAAACTCACCTGGTTTTCAACATGGGCAAAATTAGAAGATTGATATTTTCTGGATTATACCCAAATAGTGGAAGGCGACGATCATCAATGATTGAGGGCTCGAGTGTTGTGATTCTCTTATAGTGTTCAGGGGAATTCGCAAAAGCCCTATGCATTTCGGGCAAATCAATAGCCTATCATCCCAAAACAAACATCAAGAGAAATAACTTCATCAAAGTAATTCTTATAACTGATTTATGGTGAGTCACATTAAAATCCGTACTCTATAACGATTGCTAGAGTTAACCTAGTCAATAACCTGTAATGTTAATGTACAGATTCAGATCTTTCTTCACCTTTTCTTCTTTTGTTGTTTTTTTTGTTTCATTAAAACGGACTTGTTGAAATACTTCATGCTGAGAATTCTATATTGTACCAAAAATATAATATTGAATAATATCATTAATAACAATAATACTAATAAACGCAGACTCATTTACTAAGTATCAGGACCACATTAATTATATGAGGACTGTGAATTAAACATTGAAGAACAACGATACCAGTGGGTAGAACACTTCAAAGAACTCTTGAATCGACCAGCTCCACTGAACCCACCCAACAGCGGCACCCACAGACCTTCAAATCGATGTTAGCCCACCATCAATTGAAGAGATCAGCATGGCCTCCAGACAAATCAAGAGCAGCAAAGCAGCGTGGCAAAACAACATACCCGGGGGAGGCTCTGAAAGCAGTACCTGCAAAGATACTCCACATTCTCTTCAGCAAGATTTAGGATGAAGAACAAGTATGAACAGACTGGGAAGAAGGACTTCCGATCAAGATACTAAAGAAAGGCAATCTTAGCAAGTGTGATAGCTACAGAGGAACAACTGTTCTCTCAATACCAGGAAACGTCTTCAACAGGGTATTGTTGAACAGGATGAAGGACTCCGTAGACGCCCAACTTCAAGATCAACAGGCTAGATTTCGTAAGGATTGATTGTGTGCCGACCATATCGCAACACTGTGGATCATTGTGGAACAATCAGTTGTATGGAATTCATCACTCTACATCAACTCTATTGACTACGAGAAAGCATTTGATAGCGTGGACGGGATAACTCTATGGAGGTTACTTCGACACTACGGTGTGCCTGAGTAGATAATCAATATCATAAGGAAGACTGCAAAGTCGTGTATGGAGGACAGTTGACAGACTCGTTAGAGATAAAGACCGGTGTCAGGCAAAATTGTTTACTCTCACCCTTTCTCTTTCTCCTGGTGATCGACTAGATTATGAAGACGTCAACATCTGGAGGGAAGCACGGGGTACAGTGGACAGCTAGAACGCAGCTGGACGATTTAGACTTCGCAGATGGTTTGGCTCTTCTATCACACACGCAACAAATACAGGAGAAGACGACTAGTGTAGCAGCAACCGTAGAAGCAGTAGGTCTCAACATACACAAAGGGAAAAGCAAGATTCTCCGATACAATACAGCATGCATCAATCGAATTACACTTGACAGAGAAGCTTTGGAGGATGTGAAAAGACAGTTCTAATGTATGGGGCGGAAACTTGAAGAACCACGAAAGTCATCATCCATAAGATACAGGTGTTTATTAACAGTTGTCTACGCAAGATGCTTCGGATCCATTGGCCCGACATTATCAGCAACAACCTGCTATGGGAAAGAACAAACCAGATTCCAGTGGAGAGAGAAATCAGGAAGAAGCGCTGGAAGTGGGTAGGACACACATTGAGGAAAGCACCCAACTGTGTCACAAGGCAAGCCTTTAAATGGAATCCCGAAGGCCAAAGGAAGAGAGGAAGACCAAAGAACACATTACGCCGAGAAATAGAGACAGACATGAGAAGAATAAACAAAAGTTGGATAGAACTAGAAAGGTAGGCCCAGGACAGAGTGGGTCGGAGAATGCTGGTCGGCGGCCTATGCTACATTGGGAGTAACAGACGTAAGTAAGTAAGGAATTAAACTTGAATAAGGTTCAGACAACAACAGACTGATTGAAAATTGTTTTATTATCCATCTGACACATATTTATACTTTATGAATTATAGATTAATCAAATCAGACCTAATACTGAAGGGTGAACTACCAATGAAATATCTCATGGACGAAATCCCAAGTCCCCTCACTGACAAGACAGTTTACATAATTCATGTAAAGATTTGTGGTGTAACCTCAACCGCATTTCTAATGAAGGCCTTCTTTGAAAAAGTATATTTGAATTTATGAGTGTCATAGAAGTTCAAAGGTTTTAGAGTCTAGTGACATCTTCCCCTTTTTTTAATATATTGGGATGAAACACGCTTTACCACAATGAATTATTCTATTAACATTACCAGACACAACTTATTATATCACTGTGATGCATACAGTGATACATGATGTCTGGAATAACAATAAATGAAAGAATGAAATCCGTAAAGTACGTTACTACTATTGTTAACAAAAAGTTTAGAATAATGTCGAAAAAGCGTTTCTTCCGTCATGTAAAAAGTGTACATCACACTGATCAAATTTGCTTTGTTTTCCACTCAAATTCAAAACCTCTCAACTGGCTTGAAATGTTATGGTTTATTATTATAGGCTATCTGGTTCTGCAAATTAAGTGGAGCAGTAGCTTGAGTGTTTAAACACATGACTTTAAACCAAAATTGAATTTGGAATCAAACAAGTTGTGGTTCTAAGCGATGTAGGTGAAACGTTCCGTTTATTAGTATATCACACAATTATTAACCTTAAACCGAATGAGTCAATAAACAAGCAATGTAAAATATGAGTTCTAAAAAACGGTTTTATATCGTAAATGAACACTGCTTACTCCTTCTTTAAGCCAAACATCATACGGGTGTTTGGTAGCAATTTTGGATTTAAGCGATTCATCATCTAATAGCTGTCCACTTTCTGTATCAACAATCAATAGACGTCCAGCTTTTAGGCGACCTTTTTGTATGATTTTCACATCAGGTTGTATATCGACTACGCCAACTTCACTTGACATATACACCATATCATCACTGGTTGCATAAAAACGAGCTGGGCGAAGACCATTACGATCAAGTATTGCACCAATATAACGTCCATCAGAAAATACAATTAGAGCTGGAAAAAAAATGTACTAGGATAAATGTTGACTTCACTGCGTATTACATAACCTAAACATTGAAATTCAATGGTGATGAACAATTTTGTTTGTACATAATTCATGAAGACATGGATAGTCTGTTGGGTTGTTAAAATGGTTCTATTTTGGACAAGAATGAAACTGTGAAAGTCAAAAGACAATAGATAATTTTAAGTAAAAGAAACGGTATAAACCAATCAGTAAAATATAAACAAACATGCATTTCATCAAGTTACTACAGAACGGAGACAGTTCTACAATATCCCAGGGTTTTTCCATACGACCTGATGGAAGTCTGTCATCAAATGTGTGTAAGGCTCAAACCATAAATTGATATTTCGTCAAGTTTGATGGAACTCATAATGAGGATTCGGAACTAGACCTTTTAGCACAATTGTCAGAATCATAAAAATGGTGGATGTCGGCCTGAAGCACCGTGGTGGACGAGAACACAAGTGGGGACAATCGAATGTGCTTGAAAAAAAGTTACAGAACATCTTGGTAAAACCTGAGAACTATACAGTAAATACTACATTTGCAAGATGTCAATCAATCGTCTCAGACTTCATTGTTCTTTTGTCGCCACACTAATCATCATTCTTTGTTGTCAGTCTCTTTCCTTTGATCTTCTCAACCTTCTGCTGCCAGGCATTTTAGTTCTAATTGATGTTATATACTACTTATATCTGTCGACATCAGTAGCACACACCACAGTACTAAGGAAATAAACAACATGTAAAATTATTAGTTTCATCATAGTCTTCAGTGTCCATCAAGTTCATTACGTGTTTCAATGGAAGTACCTTTAATTGAGCTAACTGATGTCGATAGTTTGAATTTCAACATGAATTCAAGTTTTCGTTCAATTGTTAATCATGTTAACAAAGCCTCAAACCTTAAACACCAAACATGTAGCCACTTGACTACTTATTGAATTATTCAGTAGTACTAGTTAAATTGGAAAACTTATCAAATTCAATTAAACTGATTTGTTAAACCTTGGTTCAATATATTTGTTATTTGTTTAGTTCAAATCTTTTGATCAAACTTCTGCGTGTATACACGTGCACACATACCAGTATATATATTCTATGTTAGAACCTTTAAGCGTATAACTTCCTAGAGAACGGCAAACATGTCTGAGCAACCAACAAGAGTTATGAATACCGATCAAAATTCCTCATGGGCTTTTAGATAGTGATATAAGGAAGGTCTTTTACAGGTTGATAAAACAAAACATGAATATAGTCACTCAGTGACTGCAAGTACAGTTACCAAATCTACTGTCATAGTTAGGGAAATAATAGTGATAAGCTTAAAAATAGGGCCTAATTATTAGTACATGTAGATCTAAACGACTAAATCCTAGTAGAATCTAAAATTATAGGTTATTTGTGTTATCACTGTATATTTTAGCTTCTTAGAGGTCTCAACACTTATCATAAAAAACTCCAGAAGTAGAAATACTAGCCAGGATTTTCGGATCCTCTTTGGAATAAAGATTATAGGTAAGATATTCAATGAAGTCAATCACTTTAGTAATGAAACCATTCAATTATGCATGATTGGGAAATACTCCATCTCTGTAATTGTAACTAGTTAAATATGTCACCAAGGCACTATTAGAAGTATAAAACTTAGTTAAAATAGAGTGACGATATATATTGAAACAGAAAACTAGTGGGATACCTGCCTAACGGACAATGCTCTCAGACTAGTGGAGCTCTGAGGCAAAGTGATATATCGATATTTCAATGGTAAAGCATATCATTTCAAAAGAGTAGATAGTATACTGGTTCAAGAAAATTTTAACTGTAAGATATAATCACCATAAGTTATATCAGATACTGATTGGAAGAACAATATATGGTTGATAACTATGTACACGGAAATTAACAGATATAAAAGCCACAAGTGATTGGAACCTGATCTGAATTGTTTGAAAAGAGTTGGTGGTATGCAGAATTTCCTTAGCGCGATCTATTTTTTCTAAACACAGTTGCTGAGCTGTTACGATTAAAGTTCAGAATACTGACTAACTTCCACCACCATTCAGACTAATAGAAATCGAAGGCAAGTACAGATGAATGACAGTTGTTATGAATTAGAATACTCTATGATCTACGATATCCATATATAGCAATACTGTAAATAAATCCTTCAAAAATCATTGAAAAATCTATAATCTTGTGATCTAATGTTTGGTGTTAGTCGCATACGTAATCAGTCAAATCAAAAGGGAAAACTAGTTTTTGATGGATTCACTTCGGAAAATAAAGGTCAACAACTAGTAAGAAATCACTAGATTCGTATGAGACCATATGAGATTGTGCATTTTGCTGTAAATATATTGTACATTCAGAAATAATCTATGATGCTAAATTTTAGTAGTTCTTAGTTTTAATAGCTATATTTCCGAACATTTGGGTTTTGAACAACATAGATGATGACCATTTTAAACTAAATATTAGCACCCCTTTTAAGTAACACCATCGCTTGATTACCAAACAATATAATCCTCATCATCTTTCCTGCTTACTGACATTTAAAAACCGAAGTCTTGTCATATGACAAATAGGATAACTGGTAAGTTAATTTGCGGAATCTTGCAAACAGAAAAAGATGAACTGTGTAATCACTTATTTGATGGTTTTCAAACTTCAATTAGTTTGAAGAAAGATTATATCATATACCACACGAGTAAAGTTATAAAATGATATTCAAATGAATTTAGTCCTGTTGCTCGAATAAAGCTAAGAGTCTACAAAAATTCTTGAAGTTGTACGAAAATTCTGTTCAGAGCCTCAAGCTCTTAAATGGCCCTTCACAATATATACTTTCCAACAATGTTTTTGAATAACTTCTAATCATCAGTTCTACTTGACCGTTAAACTGTGAATTCGATTGCTGGTCAATTTTAATCATAGTAAATTAGTTTACCTCAGATCTGCCTTATAGTGAGGTTGAGTAACCTAGAGCTATATATTATTTATTATTTCATCCTGTAAATAAACAATGTACATATACATCTTCAATACTATCGAGTCTAAATTATTGTATGCATCGCAAAGAGACTATCTGCTTGAAACTATTGGATTCAACAAATCATGTTTTTGTACCACTATACTCCATGAAAATACGCTTATTGTTTCTAAGGTAACATTTTCAGTGTTGGATTATAGTATACCTATAGATCATCTCACAGCGTAGAACCGCTTATTTTCCAATATAATATAGTCTTAAGGGCTAATACTTTCTTCTAGACCCTTCCAGCTACGGTTTGCTAAGATAATTATTAATATTCAATTTATTGGTCGTTACATCTTAAAAGTCTAAAAAATTGGATTGACATATATTTATTCTAGACTCTAATTAGTTAATACTTGCCTATTAGTAAGTACTGAGGTAGAACATACATTATCGTATATTTCGTGTTACAGTTCACATACCAGCACCGTAATGGTAACTTAATAAGATTTTACAATTTTCTGAACTTTTATTGATGGTCATTTAAGTTAAAATTCAACAAAAGTTTTCTACTGGATCCTTTATTATATGTAAATTTTCTTCTAACCAAGAGAGCTCAAGAAAATATAAACTACTATTTGCTAGCTTTTATTTCAGAGATAGGTTTGTTTTATCAGGCATAACTCCGCTAACCCAATTTTCTCACGCCTCTAGTCGTTTGGATTACGAACATGCTAGGGACTGCATTGAATTCAATACTAGAAATACTTTCTCTTGGAATAACACATAATTACCAAAATACATATTAGTAGAGTCAAACACAATGGGTAGCATCATTCCTATCGCCCTAAAATGAAAGGCAATTACAATCTGCCAATCAGATAGGTGTACAATGATTTATGTAACAAAGTAATTAATCAATAAAATTTCAATTGTCCATACTTCTTTAAACAAAAACAACCTTAATATACGAACAATAAACATCCGACATGAGAAGCTAAGTAAATGCATAATAAATGAATGTGCCCATACACATACATACAACATAGATTGCAGTAAACAAACGAGTGACTGAAGCTCATGCAAATAAAAGCAGGAAACTACAGATAATCTGAAAAAGATTTATTATCTTTCTTTCCTTAAAGTTTGCAAGTAAATTCTTCATTGAGGCCATCTAACCCCTCCTCTCCTCTGGAAGACAAGAGAATACATATGCGCACACTCATTTGTCTACACGTGCATATACTCTTAACAAAGGCGTATAGATTTCTTAGACAGCAAATAAATGAAACATTTAATAGTTATAGTAGTAGTAATTCGTTCAGGTTCATATGAAGTAAAAGGTAGGCAATTTAAATTGTTTTGATCATTTCAATATCTAAGCCTAAAGAATAATCAATAATATTAACAGGAACTATATAAAGCGACCATAGACAACTGAAAAGAAAATAGCTATTGTTTTTGAGTGGGGGCATGATAAATACTCTTGACTATTAATAGGATTAACAGGAAATAAAGCTAAAGCAAATCCGTAAGCAACCAAACAATATATATGCATGTACATATATATATATATATATATATATATATATATATATATATATATATATATATATATGAGAGAGAGATTGAGTGAGTGAGTGAATGAGTGAGAGGTTGTAACCAGTGAGAAATAATTTATTCAATTTGTATGAAATAATAAGGGAAAAAGATCAGCAATGAAATGTGTGTAAAAATAATAGAAAATCAATCGACGAAATCTTATTTCCTTGAAATCCTAACCGTTAATGGATTTTACTGTTTCCTGAAACTAATTTTTAGGAGTTATAATGCTAAAAACTGATGTTTTATCATCACTATAACAATTACTACACACGGAAAAATAAAGATTCCTATCATATTAAAAAAGTTATGGAAAGAGGTAGAAATAAGGGAGAAGAGAAACTGGAGCTGTGCATGCTTATTTATTTAGCACTGACTTAGAAAAGGCATACCATACACACTTAGAACTATAAACTTAACCAAACGCAGATTTAATGGAATATTTCTGATCAAACTTGAAAATATGATTAAAAATTTCGTCAAAAATGTATTTGTTAACTGAGATGTTCGGAGACGATTCAAGATTTTGAGTGTACTCGATCAATATACATAAATATATCCATCAGCTTGAATGAAATTCGTCTATATACATCAACTTCATCGACTCTGACAAAGCATTTTACAGCGTGGATACGACGATCTTATGGAGCCTTATTCGACACTATAATGTACCCGAGAAAGTCGCCAACATCATCCGGAATTCATACGACAGACTACCCTGAAAAGTTGTGCATGGAGGACAGCTGAGAGATGCATTCCAAGTAAGGGCCGGAGTCAGGAAGGCTGCTTACTCTTGTCTTCCTATTTCGTCTGGTAATTGACTGGATTATGAAGTCCTCTACATCTGAGGGGAAGCATGAAATGAAATGGATTGCTTGGTTACACAACTAAACAATTCAGACTTCTCAGATGGCCTTGCCTTCTATCTCATAAACACAAACATATGCAGTGGAGACAAACACTGCAGCAGTAGCCTCTGCATCAGTAGGTCTCAACATACACAAGGGAGAAAGCACGATTCTTAAATACAACACGGGGAACACCAACCGGATCACACTTGATGGAGAAACGTAAGGCAACGTAAGGACAGCATTCCTGCAGTTGAAGAAAATGTGGAACTCAAAACAGCTGTCAGCCAATATCAAAGTCACAATCTCTAATACGAACGTCAAAACAGTTCTGCTGTACGGAGCTGACATTTGAAGACCTACCATAACCATCATCGGAAGGTTACAAGTATTTAAAACAAGTGTCTACGTGAGATACTCAATATCCATTGACTGGATACCATCAGCAACATCCTACTGTGAGAGAAATCAAACCAGCTTCCAACTGATGAGGAGATTAGGAAAAGACGCTGGAAATGGATAGGACATAAGTTACAGAAATCATCAAACTGCATCATGAGACAATCTCTAACTTGGGACCTTAAAGGGAAACGGAAACGAGGTAGGCTAAAGAACACACTGAGTAGAGAATCGGATGCAGACGTGAGAGCAATGAACAGCAACTGGAATTAATTGCCCAGAAAAGAGTTGGTGGACAATGCTGGTGAGCGACTTATACTCCTCCACGAGGGGTAACAGGCGTAAGTAAGTAATCAGCTTAACAGTATTCCATGCTACCAGTTGCTTCTGAAATAAAATAAAACTCGCATTACATATGAAAAAGTAAAAGGAGTTCGGCAGTCGTAAGTAAACGGATGTTCTTTATTGATGAATACACCATATGGTGATTTTTCTCCCTCTTATTATGACTACGAAAAACGACTATTAGGAGAGAATTGTATTTGTAAGTTAAATTTATTCGGTCATAGATATCTTCAAAGCATTGCCCAAGTGAAGTGGATCTGTGAAATCTTACAGAGGTTCGAAACAAAGTCACAGAGGAACAGTGTAATTTGGCTGACGAAATTTTAAAATTGGACCGATTGACTAGAAAGCTTTCTTCGGCTGTAAAATTGTATTTAAAGGTAACATTTTACAGATAGTAGTCTATAGTAAGATAGTGTGGTGTCATAACATTAAGCAAATTTGCCAAAGATAGTCAACACATTTCCAAGTATTGAAAACACCCTTATTAAGGTAATTATAAATATATATACAAAGCTATTGAGATTCCATGATAATAATAATAATAATATCTCATTAACATACCAATGAGTAGAAAATTTGATCTCTTTTGAGACTTTTTGTGTTATGCTAATTGCTTTAACACTTTATTAGATTGAGCTCATCAAATAAGACCAGCTCTGTGTACAGTCATTATCAAAACAACAATCCTGGAGTTAATATGAACAAGGAATTGATTTTTACAACTCATTGATTCGGGTTATTCATTATTTTGACTTGGTAACAAAACTGTGATTTATTTATTTTTTATGAATTCATTAACATCAGATAAGAAAACCAATCAAGGATATACTCAATAATCAAAATGAATCGATCAGTTTAATCAATAAGTTTAAAAAATCTATAGGTCTATAAAAAAAAATATTGATTTACCTGGTCCATCCCAAGGTTCAAAACTATTAGCAGCCCATTTGAAGTAGTTCCATTTCTCTCTAGACATTTCACCTTTTTCTGGATCAAGATTATGCCATGCTTCAGGAATCATCATCATTACAGCTTCTGGAAGACTGTAGTCACCAGCTTGACACAAGAATTCCATCATGTTGTCAAATGATCCTGAATCAGACATTCCTTGTTCAATGATAGGAAATAATTTTGACATTTGTGCCTTTGTATAATAACGACTGAACATTAGACTTTGACGCGCTCGACAGTAATTTACGTTGCCCTGAGTTTATATTAAATAAAAAGATTATTTAATGACTGAAAATATAAAATAGTGTGGATATAGACTTTAGTACTATTTTAAAGGGGTAATCAACTATTTGTTTATAGAGGGCAGTGATAAGTCTAATTTTGACCTGGAGCTCATATTTCTGCCCGTGACTAATTTTCGCTTATAACTTGGTGTACAAAACATACCGGTATAAACAATAAATTCAAGTATTTTGAACAAATAACTAGTAATCTTTTACACAATCAAGTTGCCTCTGGGCTTGGAGCTATTCTCATCAGTTTGAGTAATCAAACTTTTTAAATATCTAGTTATCAATCAAATCAGCCAGATATTTTAGTTTCACTGAAGTCTGCCTCAGAAGTCCGAGTATTGTCGTTTTATTCAATGTGTTGAGATTGGTGGTTTAGCTCAACACCTAACCTGTAAGCTTGTCTTATGAAATCTGGACCATAAGCATTGTTTCACTAATAGATTTTGAATAACTTAAAAATATCTAGCCAATCGGTTAACGCTAACGACTATTGAGTAATGTTTCTGATTCAGTCCTACTGTTACGAGATGAAATACTTTCTCATCTAATTGTAAAACTGTTGGAAAATGAGAAATTCTTCAAGTTATCCAAATAAATTAGTGAAAAGCTAAGGCTACTTCATTAACAGTCATGAACCAATCACCTTTGGTTCAAGGCTGTTACGTTCAAGCTATTTATCAGTACCACTTCTAAGACATCGAGTTAACCATCACATCACTGAAGCTATTTGAATCCACATTTAAACACCTAAACTTCGTATTCAAAGGGAGTTTGTGCAATGGTTTTCTAACTTGACGATTGATATAGGTTATACCTTTACCTTGTATTTTCCTCTTCTTTCAAAATTTCTCTCACACTTGTGTTCGTATATATATATATATATATCTATATATATTTATATATTTCAACAAACTATTTTCTCTTTTTAAGTAAGAACTCATTTTTGTATTCCATGGCAATTTTAATCAAGAAGGGATAACCGAAAGATTATCTAAAAATTAGTGTTGTGATAGAGATGTGAACTGTTTTCTTTGGTTTGCTCTTTATACTAACTATCTGTCGTAATTATTTCCATCATATAACTACTAGATTAAACTTTTGCGGTTGAGCGTTTCATATTTGATCAACCCAGAATGTTATCTAACTGATCATCCTGTGAAGCGAAATATATTCCACGAAAATTCATTAGTTGAAAGGCAGTTATATTAGGAGTACAAAGAAATAAAATATCTACTAGATACTTGGTCTTCAATCTCTAATTAAAACCAGCCTGATGTAAGTATAGGACGAAATATAGTTACATTAAATAAAATTGTAAATATCCGTTAAAACAATGAATTGTAACCATTACTGTTAAGAGAACAATCGTTGTGTTTCACAAAAAAATCACCATAACTCACACGTAGTGTGTTGATTTCTCCATTATGAGCCATCATACGTTGTGGATGAGCACGGCTCCATGATGGAAAAGTGTTTGTAGAAAAACGATTATGAACAATTGCAAAGTGAGTCAGAAAATTAGGGTTCGATAGATCTGCGTAGTAATTCCATAGTTGTTTTGTGGTGAATAAACCCTTTTTGGTAAATAAATAATCAAAATGATATTTAACTAAAATCAAAATGACAAATTCTACATATTAATATTTGTTAAATTATATAGCTATGGATTTCGACCTACTATATTAGGTAATAATTAGTGATACCAAATGTCCCAGTCATGTAATGGTCGTCATTCTTGAAGTTAATCTGCCAATAACTCAGTTAGATCTAGATTTTAGTAACGCATGTGGAAAGTTGTTATGCCACGATAAGGATAATGAATGGTAACTTTATGAACTAATACTGTGCATATATTTTTTATCGTATAATTGCTAAATAACTAAACCATTCATATTCATGTCCCCCTTATTATAAGCTTTATTTTGAACTACAAACTACTGTTATATGATTTACCATTCCTGAATTATGCCCTGTCTATTATTTACTATCTCCCCTATTCACAGCCACATTTGGCTAATTCTTGTACACATGTTATTTCCTATTTTATCAGTACGATGCGGTCTGTTTGATTGGTATATAAACTCAGTATGTTTGAAATATAATGATTTATACCGCAGAGGCTGTTCTGGACTTAACTGGCTGGGCTAGGCAGAAGCAGGACCATTAAGTACTCTAGACTTCTTGTACGGTTTTCGTGTATCACTGTTCCAATCGATAATACGCTGCTCTCTAGTTGCATCGTCGCGTTATACATGATCAAGGCATCCACTCGGCCAGAAGTTATAACAAAAGTTAAACAGTAAATTGTAATAGTTCAATTATCCTCTTTAAAATCGATCAGAGAAGAGCTGGCACAAATTTGTTTTAATTCATCACATATATACGATTGGAATGTATACTGTTTGATATGTTCATGAAAGACGATTAATCTTATTAGTTTAGCCACAGATATTAGTACAGAGGGTTTATAAAAAGTACTTAGGTGTCTAATTACTTAATAGGAATGGTCTCTATTGGTTAGAAAGATTGGTAACATATGGTATATTTAACATGAGATCTTCATTTAATTAAAACAAAACCTAATGGTTTTTCCTCTGTTTTCTATACGTCTGTTTGGTCGGTAATCAAAACTACATAGTTTACTTAAGTCTCAAAATGGTAAGCCTATTGTCAATAAAGCACTGATAGAATTTTATTAATAGTTCTACCGCAAAAGACGAAAACATACAAGTTACTGTTACTAATTGAAGATACAACTTCCAAATGACATTTTGAAGCCTACATTTATGACAGATTTATGAAGTGGAACATCGATTATAAAAGCAACAGACGTGCCCTGATGTCATCTAACCTAAAGAAAATAAACTGAAACTACAAGGTATATAAAAATTACTTCCAGCAGCACCTTTTACTGTAGTGTGTGCTACTTATAAGTAGTCCTTTTCCACCATATTGATAAAAGGGTATCTGTCACACCTGCATACTGTATAACCTAATCGTAATCAGTCAGCAAGTGCCTATAATTTAAACAGAATAGGTTAGTTAGTAACGGGTTCACAAATGCTTAATACTTAATGGGCACTGCGTTTCACATCTAGTTAACCAATAACACAAACGTCGTTTGAAAGCTTGGATCCTTTGATTTCATTATTATTATTACTATTATATCTTTTCATCGCGTCAGTGAACAAGAGTAGCAATTCCATAGAATAATAAAAGCGATATGAAGTGATTATCCAATAAAACATATGTTTCAATGATCGTTTGATCAAGACGAACTTTTTCAAAAGTCACATAAAGATTTACATGATGACTTACTTTATAAACAATTCTTTCAGAACATAGACTGCATATATAACAGCTCTTTGATAATTCATTACTTGCATATTTACGAAGCAAAAATACCTTAAAGATGAAGAGAACAAAGTGGACAGAAAAAGAACAAAACAATAAATTAGTTTGCGTAACAAAATATTCTATACAAGCTCAAATTAATTAAATTAAAGAATAATTAGATGAGTGAATGGTTATTTTACAATAACTCCATAAGCAGATAAACTAGACAGACATTGATTGTGTCTATGCTTATTTTAAAATTAATACGGCAAAGATTAGTGTAACAATTGAAAAAGGAACAAATTTCAACATATCCCCTAATCTACAGTCATTTAAGGTAGACATATTATTATTGCGTAAGTGGTTGATAGTCCTTCGTATTATTACAAAACAGTAGATAGCTGATATAAGGAAATAAATACAGATGATTTAATGTCATATTTAATTGAGTTTTTAACTTAAAGACCATTAGTTAATCATATGAATAAAATATTCCCGAAACCATGAGTCAGTGTAACCCAACAGAATGACAATTACTAAATTTATAGTGGTCAAAGAAAATACCTTATCAATCAAAAACTCGTCACCATTGCTCGTATAACACTAAATATGACTTTAAGAGTAGAATTTGAAACATTAAGTTAATACTGGTTTTGATATTCACTGGCTAAACATTTTCCTAGAAATCGTATCATTACTTATCTTAGCTTTTATGAGAAGGCAATGCTCCTCACACGTCAACCGAGGATGTACGCATCAGCCGAAAATCAATGCTTAATGAAGAACGCACATTGTAGTGAAAAAAAAGCAATTTTTGAAGTTACAGACACTGGATATATAATCCTGACAAAAACACTAACATAGAATCAAACATAAAGTCCAAAATAGGGTGACACACCGTTCTTGAACTGCATCAATTTGTAATGTAAACTTTTTAACAATTTAATAAATGTTTCTGAAATAAGCAGAGAATATATGATATTTTACTAAGCTGTGCAAGTGTACTGACACCTTCAGACGTTGATGTTTTGCTTGGCTTATCTTGAAACATATGAAGCACTTAATTGCAACCAAGTTATATCTGTGAAATAATTTATACTAGCAAAAAATGGGAACCAATGACTATTTGAAGATTGTGAAACTGCTTGAGGAACAAAAAGTTCATCAGAAGTGATGAAACTGTGTACAAGATAACACACACCTAATCAACAGATAAACTGAAATGGCTTAAATTTCGATACCTGAACACTTGGGATAATTTAGAAAGGACACAATAATGCTAAAGCAAAATTCAAATACATAAACTTTCTTCAGTTTCAAGTTAAATTTACTGCGTAAAAGATGAATGTAGG